TCCCTTCTTGTCATCAATTTCTAGTTTCATTCCACTGTGAACAGAAAAGATGCTCTGCATAATTTCCATCTTTTTAGATTTATTCAGACTTGTTCTGTGGCAAGAGGAGTCCTCCTTCCTCTATTGCAATAATCCTCCTTTTTTATTGCAATAATCCTTTTGAACAAAGTCTCTATTTAAATCCATTCATTTTTTATGTGGCAGACTGAAGGATGAAGCCCAGCCTCCTCAGCCTGGCTACAGGGGGCTCTTGGAGAGCAGATGCCAGCCAGAGTTTCCAGGGGGAAAATTAACCTTGTGTCTACCTCAGGTTCCATCTATTGCAGACTGACTGTCCTTGCTCAAAAAGCTGCCGAGTCAACCTCCACTTCCTTGCTTTGTACCTGATGTTATCACTCCCTGGGCTGCTTTTCCTCTCCTCAGCTTGGCCAACTCCTGCTTGCCCCTCAAGGTGGAGCTTGAAAGGAGTTTCCCCTCAAAAGCCTTTTCTAACCCTCTTCCCACCGCTGAGGCAGAGGTCAGAGCTTTCACCCTTGTGTCCTCAGACCATGGGCTCTTCTTATCTGCTTAATATCCTATGCCCATCTTATAGTAGCCTCATCGCACTGTCCCTTCCCTGAACCCCACCGACGAACTTGAGCTCTTCTGAGGCAGAAACTGTATCTTCTTCCCCTTGGTGTTCCCAGAATATAATAGGCATGCGGTAAAAATTTGGAGAATGAAGAAATGGGGAGAAAAGTAGGGATTTCTCAAGGCTTCCTTCATGAATGTTATGCAAAGGAATGGAAATGTACTTAATTGTCTTGTAACTGACCAGGAGTGAAGTGGTGTTTGTGGTAACCTTGAAAAGAAGAACTAGAGAAAGTTGGCCATTCTGTTGAAACATCTGTGTGAGTGCAAAGGAGGGTGGCCCTAACCCAGTGGTTCTCAACCGGGGAACTTTGTGCACCCTCTCCCCCTCCACAGACATTTGGCAATGTCTGGAGATATTTTTGGTAGTCAAAAATGGGTAGGGGAAGCTCCTGGCATCTTGTGGGTAGAGGCCAAGGCCGCCGCCTACCATCCTACAGTGCACAGGATAGCCCCCCCCCACCATGAAGCCTCATTTAGCCCCTTATGCCCAAATATCAATAGCACTGAGGTTGTTAAGCCATGCCCTAATCCAATGCATGGGAAACTGCAGAGCTGGGGCGGGGGGTGTGAGATAGGGAACGCAGCTTGTCTGAGGAGGTGGATTTGAGCTGGATCTCAAAGGATAAGTATGTGCGATAAAGATAGAGAAAGGAGACACTATCACAGTGAGATGAAACCGTGCGAACAAAGTAAGGAGAGCATAACAGGGCATGGGATGTTCCGGGAATGGCAAGGATGTGGCTTAGGTGTGTGAGGGATGGTGGCTGAGAGAAAGGGGTGAGGCAGGTGACAGTGAGATTGTGGAAATTCCTGAGTAGCTCTCCCTGGAATTGACCCCTCATCTGGAGGGAGAGGGGCAGGCATAGAAGGGTGTTTAGCAGGGAAGGGACAGATGGGCTGACAGGGAGACCAGAGGCTGGGGAGGTAGCTGTTTTAATGGACCTAGGGAAGAAAGGTCAAGTGAGACCTGATCTGGGCATGCAAAGGAGGGGGCAGATCAGGAACTTGGTGACTCATGGGAATGGGCGTTGAGACAGGGGGAAGTGAAACAAAACCTTGATGTGAACACCTGAAATAGGCCTTATACTTCTCCTTTGCTCACTTGCACATTAATGGCCTTTCCCTGGGACCACAGGGTTGGTCGCCCACTTGATTAGGGTGCAGTGGAGAAACTGACAACATGCGTCTACAGGTTGAAGCCTACAGGTTGTTCGACCAGTCGAATGATTACCTGGGCAGCATTTGGCCCTTGGCTGAGTGCTCTTTGACCAGGATCCAAGAGCTGCTCACCGCACACCGGGCACAGAACCTCCCCGTGTGCATTAGGTCAGTGCATTCTCAAAACCGCCGAATGAGCTAGGGAATGTTGTTATCCTCATTTGAGGGAGAAACAAGTGGAAGCAGCAACAGGTTAAGTGGTGAAGTGGGCGTTTGAATCCTGGCAAAATGACTTTGAAGAACTTAAATTATTATTTTTTTAATTAAGGGGAAATTCATGTAACATAAAATCAGTGATTTTAAAGTGAACGATTCAGTGGTATTTAGTACATCCACAACGTTGTGTAACCACCACCTCTATCTGATTTTAGAATATTTTCATCATCCCAAAAAGAAACCCTACACCCACAAAACAGTCACCCTCTCCACAGTCCCTGGCAGCCCATAATCTGCTTTCTGTCTCTATGAATTTACCTATTTTACATATTTCATATAAATGAAATCGTACAATAAGTGACCTTTGTGTCTGGAGTACTTCACTTAGCATATTTTTGAGGTTCGAGTATGTTGTATGTATCAGGGCTTCAGCCTTTTTTATGACTGAATAATATTCCGTTATATGGATAGACCACATTTTGTTTACCCATTCATCCGTTGATGGGCATTTGGGTTGTTTCCGCCTTTTAGGTATTATGAAGGGGCTTAAACTTTTAATCACTGTCCCCTACCACCTTCACAAAGACCACTAAGACGGTCTCTAGACCCGTGGATTAAAGCTATGGTGGAGAGATGAATGGGATCTGTGGGGTTCCAGAAGAGGGAGTTCCAGAGTCTTCCCCAGGATAGCAGGAAGGGGGGCAAGAAGGCTTCATGCTGGAAGTTGAGCCTTGAGTACTACTGGACCTGGTTTCTCCTTGGGGCACTTTATACCACGCCCAAGGGGACCTCACGGCCTCCAGTGGGGGAGGAAAAGTTGCAGACTCACCAGATTCAGGAAGTGGTTCAGATAGTGTCCTCTTAGAGGAACAGCCAGAGAGGAGTGTAAACTGGTGCCTATGAGATTGGAGAAGAGGAAGAGGCCTGTTTCACAAGAGCCCAGTGAGTACCAGGCCAGAAACTGTGTTCTGGTGGGAAGCTGCAGTTAATGGAGGCATGGGAGCATGATGCTCTCCTTGCCAAGATGGTGGGTATCAGGCGGCATGCCCTGTGGAACATTCCCACATCCTGGATGGAGAACCAAGGGGAGAACCAGACTTGAGGGGAGACATGGAGCCAGTTTGGGATGCATTGAAATTGAGGAGCCTGTGGTCCTTCAGGGAGACATGTCCAAAAAGACATAGGGATTTAGAGTCCAGGAGAGAGCCCTGGGCTGGAAATACAAGCTGGAGGCCCCAGCAGAGCCCAGGCATGTCGTCCCCTTGCACTCAAGTGCAAGGCATTTCAAAGGTCTCCTGAGCCCACTTCATGTGCTGTGTCCAAGGCTGGGCTCTGAAAACACAGGGCCGGACATAGTCCCTGCCCTGGGGGAGCTTTTAGTCTGGTAGAAATCAGAGTTAGGTAATTACAAGATAATCTTTTAAAAATCTTTTTTTAAAAATGATTTTATTTATTTATTTAAGAGAGGGCGCACACGCGAATTGGGGCGGGCAAAGGGAGAGAGAAGGGAAGAGAAGCAGACTCCCCTGAGCCCGGTGCTGGGCTTGGTCCCGACCCTGAGTTCATGACCTGAGTGGAAACCAAGAGTCCTACGCTTAACTGAATGAGCCACCCAGGTGCCCCATCTTTTAAAAAAATCTTAATGTAAATTTTGTTGAAGAGTACTTTTCACAGAAAATACAGAAAAGGGCACAAATCACAAATGTTTTACTAGAAAATCTTTCAGAGAGTGACCACATCTGAGCAGTTAGGACCCAGATCAAGATACAGATCTTTACCAAAAAACCCCAGGAGGTCCTCGCTGGCCCCTTCCTTTCACTACCCACCGACGGTAATCAGTATCTGGACTTCAAATACCAAAGATTAGTTTTGTCTGTTTCTAAACCTGACATCAAAGATGTCACATAGTGAGGACTCTTGTGTCTGGATTCTGTCACATTATGTTTGTAAGATTCTTACATGTTGTACAAAGTTGCTATTTGCTTCTTCCATTGCATGAATACTCTGCAGTCTGTCTACCTGTCTTACTGTTATGGGCATTTGGGCAGGTTCCATTTTTTTATGGCAACCATGGCAGCCATGAACATTCTCGTACACATCTGGCGAACATTTGTATGCACTTCTGTTGGATACACACCTTGGAGTGAAATTGCTGGCTCCGTGCTCAGTTGTTAGTAGAGAATGACAAACATTTTCCCAAGGGGGTTGTACCAATTCTCACTCCCCCCACCCCTGGCAATGTATGAGAGTTCCAGATGCTCCACATCTTCACCAACACTTGATATTCTTGCACAGGGGCCATGCTAATCTTCTCTGTATCTTTCCAATTTTAGGATATGTGCTACTTAAGCATACTTGATACTCTTTAAGAAAAAAATGTTATTGTGGCAAAGTATAACATAAAATTTACTGTGTTTTTTTTTTAAGATTTTATTTATTTATTTGACAGAGAGACACAGCGAGAGAGGGAATACAAGCAGGGGGAGTGGGAGAGGGAGAAGCAGGCTTCCCACGGAGCAGGGAGCCCAATGCGGGGCTCGATCCCAGGACCCTGGGATCAGGACCTGAGCCGAAGGCAGACGCTTAACAACTGAGCCACCCAGTCTCCCCTAAAATTTACTGTTTTAAGCGTACAATTAGTGGAATTAAGTGCATTCACATTGGGCAACCATCACCATCATCCATTCCCTAGATGGATGAAATTCTGTACCCATTAAATATTAATTGTCCATCTACCTCCAACCGCCCAACCCCTTGGTAACCACTACATATTACTCTTTTTTTTTGTGGTAAAAAACAACAACAACATAAAATTTACCATCTTAAATATTTTTAAGTGTGTAGTACAGTAGTGTTAACTACATGCACATCATTAAGCTCTAGGAAATCTTCATCTTGCAGAACTAAAACTCTACCTACTGAAAAGCAGCTTCCTACTTCCCCTCCCCTGGAGCCCCCTCTACCTTCTGTTTTAAGAATTTGATTACTTTTGGGGGGCCTGGGTGGCTCAGATGGTTAAGCGTCTGCCTTCGGCTCAGGTCATGATCCCAGGGTTCTGGGATCGAGTCCCACATCGGGCTCCCTGCTAGGCGGGGAGCCTGCTTCTCCCTCTGCCTCTGCCTCTCTCTCTCTGACTTTCATGAATAAATAAATAAAACATTTAAAAAAAAAGAATTTGATTACTTTAGATACTTGGTATAACTGGAATCATGCAGTATTTGTCTTTTGGTGATGGCTTATTTCACTTAGTGTAATGTCTTCAACACTTGATATTCTTGATAATTGCTTTTTTTTTTTAAGATTTTTATTTTTATTTATTCATGAGAGACAGAGAGAGAGGCAGAGGGAGAAGCAGGCTCCCAAGGAGCAGGGAGCCCGATGCGGGACTCGATCCCAGGACCCTGAGATCATGACCTGAGCCGAAGGCAGACGCTTAACCATCTGAGCCACCCAGGTGCCCCTTGATAATTGCTTTTATTATTTTAGCCAATGTGGTGGCCTTTCAGTGGCCCAGCACTGGAGTCTTTACTCACATTTCCTTGACAACTACTGACGTTACCCACCTTTCTATATGCCTATGGGCCCTCTGAATATTTCTTTTTTATTGGGTTGTCTGCCTTTTTTTTTTTTTTACTGATTTTCGGAAGATCCTTATGTATTCTTATTACACTGCGGATGAATCGTTTGTTAGATACATGTATTGAGAAATATCTACTCCTGCCAGAGAGTTACATTTAGAAATAGATTTACTTTTAAAAATAATACATGACACCTCCCCCCCCAAAAAGAGAAAAGAAAACAAAAGACAAAATAATATATGTTCAAACGTTGATATCTCCCTCCATCCTGAGGTAGACTTGACACATAAGGATATACTTAACAATGCCAATGATGCATTTTTTCCCACTGAACAATGTGCCCAATGAATATTATCCCCCATTTTACAGAGGAAGGAACACAGGAAGGCATGGGGAGGTGAAGTGGCTTGCCTGATGTTTGAACACAGGAATCTGTGACTTTCAGCCACTCCAAGGAGTGTCACATTCCCATTTATAAACTTTGGCTCAGAGGGCTGTCAACTTCTAAGGAATCAGAGTCTGACATACATTTCTTCAGAGATGTCCTGTCCAGGCTCCAGTCAGAGCTGGCCCTCCTGGAGGCAGGGGGCGGGTTGGGGTCGTCATTTCTGGATCTTGATCTCTGCATACTCAGGGGTCTCCCGCTCCTGAAAGTTGTGTGGTTTCAGCCCGTGGAAGCTGAGGCTGGCGTAGTAGAGCTCCTGCTCCTTCTCAGAGGGAGAGGTGGCCCCAGCTGCGGGCAAAGGGTCTGAGGGGCTGTCTGACCAGGGTTTGCTCAGGTGATCCTGAGTGGAATGAAGGGAAGGCACTGGAGTTGGCCTTTGAGTCTGGAGAAGGGAAGTGGGGGCTGGGGGGCACTTACCCATTTATCCACTTCATGCCCATTTCCTGAGCATCCATCCATCCATCCATTCATTCACTCATTCATTCATTTGTATCTTTAACACATTTTCATCATAATGGCATTGAATCCTTACAACTCCCCCCACTCCCCTGTGGATAATATAACTGTTATCCCCATTTTACAGATATGAAAACAGAGTAAGCAAGGTCAAGAAACTCTTCAGCACACACGACCTCTGACCTCAGACAACCTATCAGGGCAAGGAGAGAGTATCCAATTGTCACACATACACACACATACACGCAAATGATCTAATTGCAATTTGTGATCTGATGCACAGAAGCAGCACTCACCCAGGGGCTCCCAGGGTGCTGGGGACAGGCCTCTGATTATTACAGGGAGGCGTGATGACAGTCTGCCTGCATAGGGCAGGGGAATATTTAAACTGGAGCGTGAAAAGTGATTAGGGGTCTGGCCAATGCAAATGCGGAGGGTCAGAGGAAATCATGCATGCAAAGGCACAGAGTCACAGAGAACGAGCCCTGCCTGGGGATAAGGAGCTAATTTCGTGGGCAGGGGCAGGAAGTGGGCTGAGGACTTGGCAAGGGACAGGTCACAGAACACCGGACCAAGGAAACCAGACTACGTGTCTACCAGTCCACATGTGGCTACTGAGTACGTGAAACATGGCAATTCTGAGCAGAGGTGTGCCACGAGTATGAAATAAACCCTGGATTTCAAAGACTTAGTGTGAAAAGAAGAAGAAAACGAAGGAAGAATGCAGACTATCTCATTAATAATCTGTACATTGATTCTTGATGATATGATGGTGAAATAATATTTTGAATATATTGGGTTAAATAATATATTACATTAAAATTGATCTCATGCTTCTTTCTACTTTCTACAGGGGTTACAGGTGTTTGGGGAATTTCTTGCCCAAATCTTGGGAGGAGAGGTGGAGAGGTGGAGTCGTGGAGGTGAGGCCAGTGGCCCAGGAGGGAGACAGTGAGGGCTCAGCAGAGAAGGGGCTAAATGGAAAAAAAAGCTTTGCTAAAAAGGGAAATGGGTGGGACTTGGCCCATCACTGGCTCTGGTGGTTGGAGGAGAGGGGAGAGGAAAAGGTGGCTCTGGGGTCTCTGAGCTGAGTGCAGCCAGAAATCCTGGGGAGGACCAAATTTTGGGGGTCGGTGAGGGACTCATCTTTTGGCATGCTGAGTGAGCTGCCCCATGGTCCATCCCAGGAGAGGTGTCCAGGTGGGACGCTAGATAGAAAGAGAGGCCCTGGCCACTCACCTGGGAGACGGTATTCAAGGCTGGATCGACGCCATCCCTGCACGCTGCTTTCTGGTTGGATTTCTGCCTGTAGGTCTTCACTCTGAGGGGAGAGATCGGGGCCTTTCAGCCTGGCTGCTCGCTGCTGGGAGCCTGGAAGGATGACTGACTGAGGCAGGGCATGAAGAATGATGTTTGGCTGCAGACACCAGGAGGAGAACGCACGCTCCCTCCTCCCTGACAGAGGGAACCCCTGTGGGGAAGAGACCACTCCCGGCCTCCATGTCAGGAGGCTAGATTCCTGATGCCTCTTGGACGAATTGTACTCTTCTCTGGCTGCATCACCTCGCCAGGTTTCTTCAGCTCTGGGCTTTGAGTTTGGGAGATTCTTTGAGTCCCCTCCCTGCCCAACCTCATGAGGCCTTCACCCAAACCAGGGCCACCACTCACGCGAAGAAGATGATAAGGCAGATACAGAGAGCAAGCAGGGCTGTGACTCCAGCTCCCCAGATGGCCCCCTGAATCACACCTGTCCTGGGCCCTGGTCTCCCTGCAGGTAAGAGACCTGGGGTAAACTCCAGTCCCGCCAAGCTGGCACCTGAGCATCCAGCCTTCTGGAATCCATGACCCAGGGGTGTGCCCTCTTCTACCCAGGACTGGCTCCTTTGTCCCCCACCCCTCTCCGTGATCCCAGCCTCCTGTTTCCCTGGCCCCTTCCTCAACCCCTCCCCCGCCAACCTACAGATGACTCTGACCTCTAGTGCCCCTTTGTCTGAGTCAGAGCCACTTCTCTCCTCAACGTCTTCTAGGGTCCTGGTTCATGCGCCCCCCTCCCCTGGGCATCACCCTTCATACCTCCCTGACCTGGCAGCACCAGGATAGCCATGCTCTGTTTCCCGTGGGCGTTCCGGGCCTCGCAGCTGAGTCTGAGGCCAGAGCCCAGCGGCCCGCTGAGGCTCAGGGAGCTGTTGGCCCAGGGCCCCGCCGAGCTGGAGGTGATGGTCCAGGAGGCGTTGCTGTGGTTCCCCTCCAGCAGCCCCTCCCCCAGCCGCCAGCGCAGGGTGGGGGCCGGCTGGGCTCGGGAGGAACAGCTGCAGTGCAGCCCCTCGCCCTCCCAGGAGCAGGAGGGAGCAGACAGCTTCGGGGGGTCTGTGGGAAGACAACAGAGTATCAGAGGAAGACCCCTCCCCAGGGCCCAAGCATCCTTCCCAGGTATGTTCCAACTCACTCTTCACAAGGAGGCTCAGGGATGCTTCCAGGGACCCCAACAGGTGCTGAGCTCTGCAGACGTATCTCCCATGGTCCCCCAGTTCCACCCGGGGCAACTCCAGGACCCCAGGATTTGAGGGTTGTGAGGGCTGCAGGGTCAGGCTACCCCGGGTCCAGCTCACCCTAGCAGAAGGGTTGCTGTCGTCGGTGCAGACCAGGTGCAGGGGCTGGCCCTCCTGGACTGGGAGAGACGAGCCGTTGCCTAGAGCCTCAGGTCCTGGAAAGACAGAAAGAAAGCTAAGCCCTGGCCCTCACTAGGGGTGTTCTCTCTCTGTCTCTCTGTCTCTTTCTCTGTCTCTCTTTTCCTCACATCATGTAAATCTGTTTCTTCTCTTCCACCGCATGATCATTCGGTCAGCCGAAGGGGACAGGGCTGAGAGCAGGCACCACAGCCTTTGCAAGAGGCCTGGGTGCGTTCTGTCTCTCACTAAGTTCACTAAGACCTGTCTAATTTAGTTGTGTCTGAGAGTCCACGGTCTTGTGAGCGAGACACCCAGAATCAGGTGTCATCAAGCAGCATGATGTGTTTTGTGATGGGGGTACAGTGTGCTCGGGGAACCCTGAGGATGGGAGTTCAGTGAGATTGTCAGGTCAGGGAGGGCTTCCTGGAGGAGGAGAGGCTTTTAAAGTGGAGCATGAGAGGGTCCGGGAGCTGGCATGGAAGGACATTGCTGGAGGCAGGCACAGAAAGTGCAGCTACAGCTAGGGTGTGAAACGGCCCTGCATGCTCAGGGAAGAACAGATAGTCTGTAAGCCTTGAGCGAATGTGTATGTTTGGGAGTGTTGACATATGATGCTACTGAGGATTCAAAAATAATAACAGATTGGGGAAAGACAGAGGTATGAAAGGAAATATTGATGCATGTAACTGGTTTACTGGTACGTGTTTAACAACCAACTCATCGGGGAGGGGAGGGAAAAAATTTCTGATTTGCCAGTTTCCTTGGCATAAATACTTCCTTCTTGGCCGATTTCAAGCACCCAACTAAATGTCACTGAACGCAGAATTGGGAAAACGTGGACACAATTGGCTCTTGCCAGCCAGTGAGAGCCAACTCCAGTACGCCACTGAATGCAAGACCTCCCCTCAAAAAACCATGTTTTTGTCTAACAAAGTCACCATATACTAAGTCAAAAGGCCATTATTAGGCTGGAAATAAATCCCTTCAACTAACACACAGCTGACTTCTTTAATGTAAAAAGAGCTTCTTCAAATCATTAAGAAAAAGTCCACAAAGAAATACAAATGATTCTTAAACATAATGAAAGATACACAACCTGTTTACAAAATGATAATTCAAGTTAAAAGGACAGTGAATTCACTTAAGATCTCAGCAAGGATGAAAATGTTCAGTAGGTTGGGATTATAAACAGAACAACTTCCATACAGTGTGATTTGGCAGTATCTGTAGAAATCACAAACCTACCCTTTGATTTGGGACTTTTCTAGAAAAATTATCTTACAGACACATGCACACATATGGGGAATGTTTATACAAGTTATTTGTTGCAGTATTATTTGCCTTAACAGAAATCTGGAAACTCCATGGCTTTCCACCAATGGGGACTCATTAAGGAGTTTACAGTATAATATACTTCTAATTGGAAGACCATGGAATCTTCAGTAAGAACGAAGAAGTTTTCCTATGTACGCATGGAGACAGTAATGTACCAGCGTCACATACTTAGTTGGGACAAATGCGTCGTGGCAGTATTAAGATTTTTAAAGACAAGGAAAGCTAGACGAGGGCTTTATGGAAACTCTCTGTACAATGTAAACCTAAAATTACTCCACCATGAAAAATTTATTAAAAAATAATAGCTAAGTGAGGGGCACCTGAGTGACTCAGCCGGTTAAGTGACCAACTCTTGATTTAGGCTGAGGTCTTGATCTCAGGGTCCTGGGATCAAGCCAAGCCCTGTGTCATAGGGCTCTGGGCTCAGTGGGGAATCTGCCTGAAGATTCTCTCTCTCCCTCTCCCTCCACCTCTCCCCCAGCTCCAAAGCATGTGTGTGTGCGCGCGCACGTGTGCTCTCTTTAAAATAAATAAATAAATCTTTTTAAAAAATGATGGCTAAGTGAAATAAGTCAGCTGGAAGAAAGACAAATACCAGGTGATTTCACGCATATGGGGAATTTAAGAAACGAAACAAACAAGCAAAGGCAAAAAAGAGAGAGGGAGAGAGAAATCAAGAAACAGACTCTTAACTATACAGAACAAACTGATGGTCACTGGAAGGGAAGGAGTGAGGAATGGGGAATCAGGTAAAGGGGACTGAGGAGGGCACTTGTTGTGATGAGCACCAGGTGATGGATGGAAGTGATGAATCACGATATTGTATACTTGAAACTAATATTGCACTGTATGGTCACTAACTGGAATTTGAATTAAAACTTAAAAAAATAATAAAGACACAGAGCATATATATAGCATGGTTATGTACATATGTGTGTGTCTTTAAACGTAGATGCGTAGATTATATTTGGAGAAATAACCAAGAGGGGAGGTACATAGGTGCTGAATGTTATTTTATTCTTTTTTTATTTTTTATTTTTTATAATTTTTTTAAAGATTTTATTTATTTATTTGAGACAGAGAGAATGAGATAGAGAGAGCATGAGAGGGAGGAGGGTCAGAGGGAGAGGCAGACTCCCTGCCGAGCAGGGAGCCCGATGCGGAACTCGATCCCAGGACTCCAGGATCATGACCTGAGCCGAAGGCAGTCGCTTAACCGACTGAGCCACCCAGGCGCCCACGTTATTTTATTCTTATTCAGTTTTGCTGGGGACTGGATTGTGTTCCCTTCAAGATCATATGTCCAAGCCCTAACCTCCAATATGGTAGTATTTGGAGGTATTTAGATGGGCCTTTGGGAGGTGATTAGGGTTAGGTGAGGTCATGAGAATAGGGGCCTCGGGATGGTATTAGTGCTCTTTTTTTTTTTAAAAGATTTTATTTATTTATTTGTCAGAGAGAGAGAGAGAGAGCACACAAGCAGGGGAAGCAACAGGCAGAGGGAGAAGCAGGCTCCTCGTTGAGCAAGGAGCCAGATTCAGGACTCGAACTCAGGACCCTGGGATCATGACCTGAGCCAAAGGCAGACGGACACTTAACAGACTGAGCCACCCAGGCGTCCCTGGATTAGTGCTCTTATAAGAAGAGATACCAAAGAACTCTCTCTCTTAGTTGTGTGAGAGAAAACACCACCAGAAACCAGCTGTTTACCAGGGAGTGATCTCTCACCGGGAACCACATTGGCTGGACCCTTGACGTTGGACCTGCCTCCAGAAATATGAGGAATAAATGTCTGATGCTTAAGCCCCTCAGTCTGTGGTATTTTGTTATGGCAGCCTGAGCAGACCAAGATACATTTTATGCTTACTGTTTTAAACAATAACATTATAATGTGGAAGGGAATTGCAGGAGGGGGCAGGGTCCAGATCTGAGGGGAATGGGGCAAGGTTTGGGAGGGGAACATAGCTGGGGCACTGGGGACGGCCACCCCATCAGGCTTGGAGGTCATGCAATACCCTTGAGAGCAGGGTCAGTGGTGGGGAGAAGCCAGTTTGTACGCTGAGGAGCCAGTGGGGTGCTCCCCACCTCTGCTGTCCCCACACCTGATCTGAGCCTTTCTCCCACCCAGCTCTGCTCTGAAGGGCGGAGACAGACACTGCTTGCACCACAGCCCAAGAGGAAAGGTTGTACCCTACCTGTTCCTTCTCTTCGGAACACACTGATGGTCAGGTTCTGGGGTGCATCTGACAGATAGACATAATTGTTTTCAGAGGCAGGAAGGTGGATGTTGGCCCTTTCCCCCCAGAAACTTCAGAAATGAGAAAGGTGTGGTGTCGGGTGTTTTCTTTCCTTCCTCCCCAGGATTCTAGACCCTGCCTCCCTCTCCCCAACACCCACAGCCCTCAGGGACCCTGGTGTTCTGGCCTGGCACTCACAGGACACGTTGAGCTGGATGGTCCTCTCCGTGTTCACACCAGCTCCGGGGAAGGCCACTCGACAAGTAAGGTTGGTGCCGTGGTCCTGGGGCCTCGGGGTGAGGGTGAGCACGGAGGAGTGGGGAGTCTTGCAGCCCCTGGAGGTGAGGGCGACCCCGATCCAGGAGAAGGTGGGGGGTGTCCCCCTCTTACAGGCCCATAGCACGCTACAGGTAATGTTCTTGGGGCGGCCAGATTCTAGGGGCCCCTGGATGTGGATGTCAGGTATCTGTGTCAGAGCTGAGGAGGAGAGAGACAGAGATCCTGGAGTGGGACCCTGAGTGTGCCCCTGGAAGCAGCCTCTACCCCAGGCCAGCCGTCTCCTCCCCAGCCAGGATGGAGACCAGGGGGTCCCTTCCCAGCCCTGCCCCAAGAGCCCTCAGGATCCATGCATGGGACATGTGTCCTCTCCTTGACCCCGTTCCTTACCGGTCACACGCACGGAGAGCTGGTTCTGTAGGTAATTATATTTCACATAAGACCCTCTCTCCACCCTAAAGAAGTATGTCCTCGAGTCCCTTCTCTGTGCATCTCTGATGTCCAGGGAGCAGTTGTTGTCCCGGGGGTCCCCGAGGAGGTGGAATCGGCCCTGGGTCTCCTCCTGCACGTCTCGATCGGGGTTGTTTGTGGCCACTAGAACATCCTGGCTGTGATCACTTCCTTCCTGGAACCAGTAGCCATAAGCTGGGTCATCGTCAGTGTATTCTCGTCGGGGGTGGGAGAATTTGCAGGGCACATGCACACACAGGCCCTCCTGCACCTTCACGGTCTCCTGCACTTGCAGCCGGAACACTGAACGCTGATCCAGGGACCCTGTGGGGAATCGAAGGTCAGCAGCAACCGCCCCGCCCCTGGCCCACTCACCTGCCCACAGCAGGGGCAGAAAAAGCAGTGGCAGCAGCAGCGACAACTTTGGGGTAAGAGTCATGGTGCTTTGGTGTCACAGGACAGAGAGGAAGCCCCAGGAGGAAGCCTAGGGCTGATGTCTGAAAAGTGACCACAGAAGAGGAAGTCGACGCCGGCACACTGCCGATGACCGCATGGACCTTGAAGATACCTTGACGATTTACCACTCCCACTTTCCAGGGTCCCCGCCATCCACCGCCCCCCACGCCCGGTCCCTGCCCATGGCCTCTGTTCCCACCAGGAAGGCAGACACTACCTGGCCAATTACAGCTTCTAGAAGCCCCAGAGGGTCAGTCCTGCTAGTTGTGGGACACAGCAGGGGTGAGCAGGGGAACCTTGAGGCATGAAAGATGGGGATAGGTTCCCCCCCACCCCAGGTGAGGGAGGTGATGTGTAATTAATCAATGAGCACGACACCTGCATCATGAACATCTCCTTTTTTTAAAATTTTTTTATTCTTATGTTAATCCCCATACATTGCATCATTAGTTTTAGATGAAGTGTTCCATGATTCATTGTTTGTGCATAACACCCAGTGCTCCATGCAGAATGTGCCCTCCTCAATACCCACCACCAGGCTAACCCATCCTCCCACCCCCCTCCCCTCTAGAACCCTCAGTTTGTTTTTCAGAGTCCATCGTCTCTCATGGTTTGTCTACCCTCCGATTTCCCCCGCTTCATTCTTCCCCTCCCGCTACCTTCTTCTTCTTCTTCTTCTTTTTTTTCTAAACATATATTGCATTATTTGTTTCAGAGGAACAGATCTGAGATTCAACAGTCTTGTACAATTCACAGCGCTTACCAGAGCACTTACCCTCCCCAATGTCTATCACCCAGCTACCCCATCCCTCCCACTCCACCCACCACTCCAGCAACCCTCAGTTTGTTTTTCAGAGTCCATCGTCTCTCATGGTTCATCTACCCCTCCGATTTCCCCTGCTTCATTCTTCCCCTCCTGCTACCTTCTTCTTCTTCTTCTTCTTCTTCTTTTTTTTTTCTTAACATATATTGCATTATTTGTTTCAGAGGTACAGATCTGTGATTCAACAGTCTTGCACAATTCACAGCGCTTACCAGAGCACTTACCCTCCCCAATGTCTATCACCCAGCTACCCCATCCCTCCCACCCCCCACCACTCCAGCAACCCTCAGTTTGTTTCCTGAGATTAAGAATTCCTCATATCAGTGAGATCATATGATACATGTCTTTCTCTGTTTGACTTATTTCACTCAACATAATACCCTCCAGTTCCATCCACGTCGTTGCAAATGGCAAGATGTCATTCCTTTGGTGGCTGAATAATATTCCACTGTATATATATACCACATCTTCTTTATCCATTCATCTGTTGATGGACATCTTGGCTCTTTCCACAGTTTGGCTATTGTGGACATTGCTGCTATAAACATCGGGGTGCACGTACCCTTTCGGATCCCTACTTTTGTATCTTTGGGGTAAATACCCAGTAGTGCAATTGCTGGATCATAGAACATCTCCTCCTTTTAGGGCCATGGAGTCAAAGGGGAAAGGGACAGACTCTCTCTCTGTTCTTCAGAACTTCCCTAACACCCAAGGAGACAGAGAAACTCCAGGCTGCAGCAGCTCCTATTGGTACAGTGTGAGCTAGTAGAAGCATGGGCAAGAGTTTGTAGGAAACGCCATTGCTCTGTGCGACTAGAAGGCGAGTTCCCAGGTATGAATGGCCGGAGTGGATGGGGGAACCAGGATTCCCAGGGGGCCTGGGGCTTCCTGGATGGCTCCCAGCCCCCTGCTCCAGGCATACTGTGGTGTCGCCTGCACCAGGCATGCCTGAGAGCTGGGCATTTGCAGCAAGATTATAGCACAGCATGACGTTGAGGGAGAATGCCCAGCTGTGCTTGGCCCTCCTCCCCTCCAAGCCTCAGTTTCCCCAGAGGTCACATGGTGGGATTGCAATACTCAACTCTTGTCTGTGGGAGAATGTGAGGACAGCGGTGGGCATTTTCTGCAGACTTGGGTGTGGCCGTCTTGCACATCAAATATCTGGCCCTGTGTCACTCTGAGTCCTGCTTTTGGTAAGAAGGTCCTGGTGGTCAGCTCTGCCCTGGGGCTCCTTCATCTGAGGCCTCCCACGAAGGGATCATGTGTACCAGATGGCTTCAGGCTCGGGCCCGTCTCCCTCATGCTCACTGTGCCATCTTGGGAAGGGGTTTAACTCTGCATAGCTGGATGCCTATACTCACAGGGTGTTATGGGCTGAATTGTGTCACCTTAAAATCCATATGTTCATTTCCTAACCCTCAGTACCTCCAAATATGACTGTCTTTGGACATAGGTCTTTAAAGAGATAATTAAGGTAAAATGAGGCCATTGGGGTGGGCTCCAGTCCAAGAGGACTGGTGCCTTTATAAGAAGAGGGGATTAGGAGAGGCGCCTGGGTAGCTCAGTCGGGGAAGCATCTGCTGTTGGCTCAGGTCATGATCCCAGGGTCCTGGGATGAAGTCCTGCATCGGGCTCCCTGCTCAGCGGGGAGCCTGCTTCTCCCTCTCCCCCCGCTCATTCTCTCTCTCTAGAAAATAAATATAATCTAAAAAGAAGAAGAAGAAGAAGAAGGAGGAGGAGGAGGAGGAGGAGGAGGAGGAGGAGGAGGAGGAGGAGACGCGCCTGGGTGGCTCAGTCGTTAGGCATCTGCCTTCGGCTCAGATCATGATCCCAGAGTCCTGGGATCAAGCCCCACATCGGGCTCCCTGCTCTGCAGGAAGCCTGCTTCTCCTTCTCCCACTCCCCCTGCTTGTATTCCCTCTCTCGCTGTGTCTCTCTCTGTCAAATAAATAAATAAAATCTTTAAAAAAAAAAAAAAAGAAGGGCTCCTGGGTGGCTCAGTTGGTTAAGCGATTGCCTTCAACTCAGGTCATGATCCCAGAGTCCTGGGATCGAGTCTGCATCGGGCTCCCTGCTCTGCGGGGAGCCTGCTTCTCCCTCTCCCACTCCCCCTGCTTGTGTTCCCTCTCTCGCTGTGTCTCTCTCTGTCAAATAAATAAATAAAATCTTTAAAAAAAAAAAAAAAGAAGGGCTCCTGGGTGGCTCAGTTGGTTAAGCGACTGCCTTCAACTCAGGTCATGATCCCAGAGTCCTGGGATCGAGTCTGCATCGGGCTCCCTGCTCTGCGGGGAGCCTGCTTCTCCCTCTCCCACTCCCCCCGCTTGTGTTCCCTCTCTCACTGTATCTCTCTCTGTCAACTAAATAAATAAAATCTTAAAAAAAAAAAAAAGAAGAGGAAGAAGAAGAAGGAGAAGAAGAAGGAGGAGGAGAAGGGATTAGGACACACACACGTACAAACAGGAGACCACATGAGCACAGGGTGGGGAACCAGCCACCTACAAACCAAGGAGAGAGGCCTCAGAAGGAACCAGTTCTGCCCACAATGTCTGGCCTCCAGAGCTGTGAGAAAATGAACTTCTGTTAGTTAAGCCACCGGGTCGGTATACTTCGTTATGTTAACCCCAGTAAACCAATGTGTGGGGTTTTCAAGAAGACGGATGTGTTCATACAGGTCAAGTGCTCTGTGCAGGTGGTCTGGCCCACTCTGGACACAGTCCACACAGTGGCCATTTTGTAGGATGGGGCCACTCCAGGGACGGAGGGGAAGGGAAGGGACAGGTTTGGTAATTGGAGGAAACATCTGCTGTTCTTCTGTGCTCTGATCTCTGCCTTGCTCTTACTTAAACCCGGGCACACTTCTTCTCTCCCCAGGACAGGACGGTGTCCCTGGGCCTCTGCTCCAGCTGGCCTCTCTGCTGGCTGAGCCCATCCTCCTGCACCTGGGCGCCTGTCTCCCGTTTGTTGAGCGGTGGGTCCTGGAGGCTGGGCTGAGGTAAGGCTGACCTTGGTCTATCGGTCTATTTGGCCTGAGAATCAGGGCCCCAGGCTTCCCAGGGCAAAGCTCCCAGCGTGAGGAGCCAATGGCTAATGCCTCGCCTTCTGTGGCTGTGGTGGAAGTTATGTATGAGTGTGTCTGTTGTGTGTGTGTTCTGTGTTTGTGGTCTGTGTGTACCTGTCTGAGGTGTGTGTGTGTCTGTGTGTATATGTGTGTGTGTGATTTCTCTGTGTGTATATGTGCACGATCTCGAATGTCATTTTCTCAATGACGATATCCGCAGACAACATATTGGAGAGTATAATCCATTTCATATTCCCTCTGTATCTTTCTCTTCTGTTTTTCTTCAACCTCCTTATCACGAATCAACGTAACACATGGTCTACTTAATTATTCCTCGTCTGTCTCTCCTGCCATTAAAATATAAGCTTCACAAGGGATCTTGTTTCTCCCATTTATTGCTGAATCCACTCTGGCTAGAAAAATGCTTGGCATACATTAGGTGATCAATGAATATTTACTTTAGGAATTGTAAGGATATTAGGACGCCTGGCTGGCTTGGTTGGTGGAGCATGTGACTCTTGATCTTGGGGTTGTGGGTTCAAGCCCCATGTTGGGTGTAGAGATTACTTAAAAAATAAAATCTGTATTAAAAAAAAAGAGTTGTAAGGATATTTAGAATAAGCAAAATAAGATTTCTGGCTGTCTCCAATGAAAAAAATATGTATTCTTTAGAGTATACCCTTCTGGGGTTACCTGACTCTAGCATTTTATTATCTTTGAACTATTTTAAATGCTATAATTTATAGATAACTAATAGCAATGCAAATAATTCTTGTCCATAGACATACATGTACGTTCTGTCTGCTGGTGGGGAGATTTGAATCCCCCCACCAAGCCACTTTTACGTGCATTCACAAATTCATTTCAATATTCCCTTGCTCCATATAAATTTGGGCATCTTTAATTTCTGCCCTGGTTCCCTCATTCATAATGAGTTAAATGAAATGGGGAGTTGCTGTTCAATGGGTATAAAGGTTCAGTCCTGCAAGGTGAAAAATTTCTAGAGATCCTCTGTATAACACAGTACTTACAGTTAACACTAGTGTATACTTAACATTTTGTTAGGAGGATAGATCTGATGGTATGTGTTTTTTTGCCACAATAAAAAATCTTTAACACATGTTTATTTTATATCTATGAGGGTCATGATGTTGCCTTAAAAAAAATCTTCCTTTGATAGAATAAAAAACAAATTTGTTTGCGCCTCTGTGCATGTGTTGTCTTTTTGGCTTGTGGTGTGTTCTAGGTATTAGAACCTGGTCCCTGCCCCCTGAGCCAAATAAGATGGACCATGTAACTGCTTGAGTTCATCTTAAAGGATTTTGCTATTTCCACTTGGGCAACTGGGAACCAATGGAGGGTTAGAAGCTGAAAATGACTCTTGGGCTTTAGAATTCCCTCTGGCTTCCCTGTGGAAAACATATTGGGGGTGGGCAGAGAGCGGGTGAGAAGATGAATTTCCTTGACTGTGTATTTATGTTTCCGAGATAGAAAGTAAGTCCTTGGAGGCAAGAATGTGCATTTCTCACAAGCAGTGTAGACTCGCTTTGCACACAATAATGATAAATTTCATAGTAGGTGATAAATACGTGTCAAGTGGCAGTTTTTACATAAAGGTAAACACACAAATAGCAGAATCTTGCTTAAAGTATTGTTTCAATTTTGGTAAAAAAAAAATCACATATAGGTGACTTTCCTCTCCTTGCATCTACTCACTCACAACCATAGGAAAAAGTTTGGAAGACCAGAAATGACAGGTGACCAAAAATTTGTTTATTTGCTTTTTTGTGTAGGGGCAGGGCAAAATCAACAAAGTGCTTCCCTACTGTGTGGAGGTGGGTTAGGGGTGAGGAGAGAGGTTTGGGAGACAATGAACATAGTGCTCCCATGCCTGGCCCCTCCTTTTGGGATCCCATGTCCAGGATATTCCCCCATCCTAAGAGACAAAGCAGCTCAAATTTTTCTCATCCTTCCTTTTCTAGAGGTCTCCAACCCTGTCAGGGAAAAGCCAAGTGAGGTCAGTGTCCTGTAGGATGCTGGCTCTGGGGGTGGCCAATGGTGAACACTGTTCTGATGTTTCAGGGACTCAGATAAGGGGTTGCCTGGGGAGGAGTCTGATCACTCGGTGTAGTAGACCCTGGAGGGACCATAAGGGAGGGGGCTGGTGGAAGTCAGCCTCCATGCAGACATTCCTGAGCAGGGGGAGGACCAGAAAAGGAGGAACACAAATGGGGGGATGTTGGATGGGCATGAAGTTCCTCAACAGGACCTAGGCTTCCTACCACTTACCAACTCTGGGACTCAAGACAGCCTGCGCTAGTAACTGCAAGAGTTGCCTGGGCAGAGGTGGGAGTCTTGGAGTGGTTGAGACCACCTATCGAGGGACGGGAAGCCTCCAGACAGAAATGTGAGAAAACATGGAAAGAGGAAAAACCCATCCCAGACTGAAAGAGTGATAATCAATTCAAATGGAGAAAGAAAAAAAAAAATCTTGAAGTTATTCAGGCTTGATAGGAAGACAGTTACAAAACAAATGGAAACCTTTCTCCCAAGGTCTTACAACAGCTCTAAATGCCATAAGGACCCCCTCTTTGAGTGATTACTACTTTCTTTCCAACAATGCCCCAAGATTTGCCTTGTTATCTCCTCTAATTACTGGGGACACCCATGCCTAAACCTCACCTCAGGACAGCACCCAATCCCTGGTTAACACCTTCTGGGAGCAAAGAGCCCCAGTCTGAGGAGGGAAGCACACCCTACAAGGTCCCAGACACCCCTGACCAGCATCATTGACTTAGGATATCACCAGATCCTTCCGCAGGCTCCTCCCACTCTGCCCTGGGGGCTGATAAATGGTTGGCACCCTGGGGGCTCTCCATCCCCCAGGAAACACTGACCCCTGGAGAGTCCCAGGCCGGGGCGGGGGGGGGGGGCGGGGGGGGGGGGCTGGTGCTGTCCGAGGTGCTGAAACAGTGTTGTGCTTTGAGCTCAAGTACCTCCCAGCTCAGCAGCAGGGCCTGACCCAGACGCTTATGTCCGGGTTTGGGGCCAGGAGGTGAAAGGGGTGGGGATGGATGGAGCCAGGGAAGCAGACAATCAGGAGCTGGCCTCCTCTCTCTTCTCCACCTGCTGCCTCTCCTGTTCACTCTCAGGTATTTTTCCTCCTGTGGATGATGTCTGTCTGCGCCGTCCGGCTGAGCCTTCTTGCTAAGGCCCTCTGCTTCTGGCCTTTTGTACTGTTCCTTTAAATAGCTTCCTTCATCACACACACACACACACACACATCTTCTGAAAGAGGAAAGAAGAAAACTTAGAATCAGGGTCAGGAGCATTAGACAGTATGCCTGGATCCTTTTGTCCATTTCTGTCTACCTGCTCCAGTGCCTCAGGGCAGGAGAAGATATCTCAAGTCTGAAGGAGAAGGTAAGTGTTTCTTGGACACATATTTCTGGCTCCAATTGATGCCCCTTGCTGGTGGTGTTGGGCCTGCCTGATTGTCAAAAGGGCTCCCGTCCATCCAGGAGAGAAATGGCCCTACCCAGCTGCCTTCTGTTTCTCAGTCATGATTTGGGAAATGATGGGTCTGAGTGTCTTTCCTCTATTGGATGGGAGTACTGAGATGCTCTCCCTCTGTATTAGTCCCCGAGTTCTGGGGGCCTAACCCAACTCACCTTCTTCTTACTGCATTCCAGAATTCTCCTTTGTTTCTTGCACCATGTACAGCGTTTCTAGTTGCAAGTAGAGGGAGGAGCAGGGAACAATGTACTGATGACAACTTGTCTTGATTGGAAGTCTAACCATCAACTTTTAATGTTTTGAACAGATGGTTGGCTCATGTCACCCAGCCTGACATTATCATAAGCAGAAGTCTGACAGCTGTCCATCTTCAGTGTAAGGCAGGGAGAGTTAGGCCCCAGACAATTTTTTTTACACCACAACAGAATCTCCCATTTGTTTTTAGGAGTCATTTTATGATCTTATGGCATTATGCTTTATCCCTGTCATGGTTTTGGTGCTACTGGTGGATGTGGGGTTGTTTTTATTTAAGCTGATTTTTAAGTAAAATATTCGGCTTTTCAGGAGGAAGATTACAACTTCCTGCTTGCTCCACCAACCGTCTCAACCCTGACATCTGTTTTTCAATTTATTTTGGAGGATAAGAAGTTGCCAGATAGATGATGACCTTGTGATGTGTCTTCCTGGAGGAGGGATGGTGTGGATGCACAAAGATGGTGAGGAATGGACAAGCATGTGGGCATTTAGAGAATGACATGAGGGATTGATAGTTTAGGATATGGAGATGCAGAAGTAGATTGGGTGAAATTGAAAACAACCTGCAATAGAAGTCAGAAAACTATAGCCTGCTTTTGCACATAAAATTTTGTTGGAACACAGCCACATTAATTCATTTGTAGAATGTCTATGGCTGCATTTGCACTACAAACACATAGTTTTGAATAATTGCTACAGAGTCCTTACAGCTTGCAAAGCCTAAAATATTTGCTATCTGGCCCTTTAAAAAAAAAATTCCTGACCCTTGACCTGGAATGTCAAATTAGAAGCTTGTAAATTAGTCTTTGGGGCTGAGGAGATGGAGAGGTATTTTGACTGTGGTTAGCCCTAAGTTTTAGGAAATTCCCTAAATGTTAATATGTGATTTTGTCTCTAACAAGACGAGTAGGAGGCAGGCAGGATGGAAAGGGAAGATTCAGGAGGGGAGAGGGATGATGCTGGAGGCCAAGTCAGGGAAGGGACCCATGGGGAGGGTTTTGTTTTTCTGATAAATATTCAATAATATTTACCACTAAGTAATACATCTGCATCTACAGTTTATTTTTTCCAGCTTTATTGAGATATAATTGACACATAACATTGTGTAAGTTTAAATTATACAATGTAATGATTTGATACATGTATACATTGCAAAATGATTACAACATGGGAGGGTTTTGAAAGTGAGACTGACGCATTGCTGATGTGGTGTCCCAGACAGAACACACCCAGGCTCTAGGTGAAATGTCACCAACATCTTTCTGTTCAAGGGGGAAGGAACTAGTGTGCACCAGACTCTCACAGTGCGGCAGGACTTCTGCTGGGTGTTTTCTATATGCACTTTTATTTACTCCTCGTGGCAACCCTGTGAGGTGGGACTTCTTACATCCATTTCGCAAAGCAGGAAGCTGAGTCATGGAGGGGTAAGGTGGCTTGCCTTATATCATACTGTTGATAAATGAAAGAGCGTGGATTCCACCCCGGACCTCTCTGATTGCAAAGCCTTAATTCCAATATAGCAGGAAATTCACATTCAAGAGTTTGTAAACCCATTGCCTATGTGGATGTTAACTCGCCAAGAATCAGCCTTTGTCCCACTTCCTGCAGGGTACGGATGCTCCCTCTGAGACTGATGCTCTAGGAGGTTCCTCACTGGGTCCTGATCTCTGACTATTCTGCATAGGTGTCCTCCTTCATCCTGTGAAAGCTGATGGAGGCATAATACAGCTCTTGATCCATCTCCAAGGTGGGGGGCACCCCTGCAGAGCTTGTGGGGTCAGCAGGGAGGTCTGACTTGGACTGCTGCTGGCAATCCTGTATGGAGAGCAAAGCAGGGGTCAGAACAGGGTGGTGGGGGTCTGGGGTAGGTGAAGAGAAGGCAGAGAGTGTCCACGAAGTGAATTTGATTCTGACAGGACATTGCTCTCTCTTCCATTCTTTTATCAAACATTTCTTATGTAACAAATATAGAACTATTGATAGCTTTCAAATTTTATTGAACACTCACTCAGACCTATGTGGAAAAGACTATTATTTTACAGAAAGAGAAACTAGTTCTCGGAGAGGTTAGTTACTACCCAAGGTCACATATCTTGATCATGAACTGAACCCCAGTCTCTCTGGCACAGGATATACAGGAGGGTGTTTATGAAAAGCTCAGTTGTCTTCTGGGTGTGTCTTCTTTATTCTCACACTGCTACCACATTCACAACACCTCTGACACTAGATGTGTGGGGTTTTCACCACACCAAGCAATTCTCCAACACCAGCTTGGTGGCCTACATTTCTAACTCAATTCTGACGCTCTCTACCCAGAGACAACACCAGATCCCATAGATTAGGGCTCAGACTTACAAGTTTGCCCCCACCTCCACTTCACCTGTCAGTTGGAGGTCCAGGTTGTCACCTGTGTTTCTGACCAACTGGCTATAAATGAGCAGTTGCCGCGAGCCCCACCTCAGGTTCCATTAATTTTCTAGAGTGGATCACAGAACTCAGGAAAGCAGTTTACTTACTGTTTACCAGCTTATTATAAAAGGATGTGATAAAAGACACAACGCAGATGAACATCCAAATGGAAGAGATGCATAGGGTGAGGTGGGGCGGGGTGGGGGGTGGGCGGGAGCTGCCACACCCTCTCCCAGTGAGCACCATGTGTTCACTAACTTGGAAGTTCCTTGAACTCCATACTTTGGGATTTTTATGGAGGCTTCATCATGTAGGCATGATTGATCACTAATTCCATTTCCAGCCTCTCTTCCCTCTCTGGAGAATGGGGGCAGGGCAGGGATGAAAATTCCAAGCTTCTAATCATGGGGTGGTCTTTCTGGCTCTCCATCCAGGAGCTTACCCAGAGTCACCTTGTTAGTACAAAAGATGCTCCTATCACACAGAGAGCTCCAAGGGATTTAGAAGTATGACCATTCTTCTGCTGCAGGCTAATTTCTCTAGATTTTTGGCAACATTTTTCAAGAGTATTCCCACTTCTCATCCTCCCATTTTTCCTCTTGAACTCACTCCAATCAAGTCAACTTCCTCTCCCAGGCAACCAGATCTGCTTTTGTCAAGATCAGCTGTGACACCACTTGCTAAATTTAAGATTCATTTCTGAGAACCTATCTTACTGGACTTACTAGCATTTGAAGCAAATAAGCATTCTCTTCTCCTTGAAGCTTCATCTCCCTTTGGCTACCAGGACCCAGCTCTACACTCTCTTCTTTCTAATTTCTTTTTTCTCAGTGTTTTTCTTGTCATCTCCACCTTGTAACTCTGGCTCTCCCAGGGCTCTATTTGTGGACCTCTCCTCTTCTTTGCGGTTTCATCCACTATCGGACCTTGATGCAGATGCCACCCAAACCTCTGTGCCTCCTACCTGAATCCCTGTCCTGAGCTCCAGACTCTTGCCATCTACTTGTCTTCTTCATTTGGACATCTCAGAGGCACCTTAAGCTTGTAGTAACCAAAATAAAGTTTGATCCCCTCTTGGAAATATATTCCTGTAGATTTGGTAATTTCAGGAATTGGTGATACCCTTACTTATGTTGCTCAGGGCAACCACAGTGGAGTCATCTTTGGCATCTATGAACATGTATGGACATCTATAATATCTATGACATCTATGGAGTCATCTTTGGCATCTATGAACATGTATGGACATCTATAACATCTATGACATCTATGGAGTCATCTTTGGCATCTCTCACACCCATTAGGTAGAGGCAGTGAACTATCTTTGCTCATATCCCACACACACTCTTATCACTCCATTAGCAAATCCTGATTCATCATTGTTACCCAGGACTAAGTCTATCTTATGGACTGAATTGTGTCCATATGTTGAACTTATATGTTGAAGCTCTAACACCTAATGTAACTATATTTGGAGATGGGGCCCTTAGAGAGGTAATTAAGTTTAAACAAGGACATTAAGGTAGGGCCCAAAATGACTTATGTCCTTATAAGAAGAACAGACACTGGAGATGTGTGTACACAGAGAAAAGGCCAGGTGAGGACATGGAGAGAAGGCAGCCACCTGCAAACCAAGGGGAGAGTTTTCAGAAGAAGCTAACCCTGCCGGCACCTTGATCTTGGACTTCAGCCTTCACAATTGTTTCTGAAAATGTTTCTGTAGTTTAAGCCACTCCATCTATGGTATCTTTTTATGGGAGCCCTAGCAAACTGATACAGTCTGCTTTATCTCTTGCCTGGGTTATTTCAGTGTCTTCCTTATCTTGTCTCCTCTTTTCTGCCCTAACCTGCTATAGGCATTCTCAGTGCAGCAGCCAGAGTTATCCCATTAAAAAGAGCATCAGCTTGGGGAACCCAGCTGGCTCAGTCAATAGAGCATGCGACTCTTGATCTCAAGGTCATGAGTTCAAGCCCCACATTGGACGTGGAGCCTACATATATATATATGTATATATATATACATATATATATATCCTGCACAGATTTCCTAAACCCCTTATAATTTCCTAAGTGAGAAGAATGCTAGGAGCATCTTCTGTTCTAATGTTTGGTCTTTGACCCTGGTTCCTGACACAGAGCTCCTAAATCCCTTGGAATTTCCTGGACAACAGCAGCATCTTTTGTTCTAATGACATAAATCTTGGTGGGCTCCTGGATGGGGGCTGGTCACAGAAAGGCCAAGCCGTGGTTAGAAGCTTGGAAGTTTCAGCCCCATGTCCTCATCCTCCAGGAAGGGAAGAGGAGCTGAAAATGGAGGTAATGATCTATCAGGTCTATGTGAGGAGGCCTCCATAAAAATCCCAATAGTACAGGGTTGGGGCGGGGGTTGGTTAGGGAGCTTCTGGGTTGGTGAACATGTGGAGGGGCTAGGAGGGTGGGCACACCTGGAAAGGGGATGGAAGCTCCGTGCATCTCTTCCATCTGGATGTTGATCTGTATCCTTCATCACATCCTTTTATAATAGACTAGCATTTGGGGCAGGAAACCCAGTACAAAGTAAGTAAACTGCCTTCCCGAGTTCTGTGGGCTGCTGTGACCAATTAATTAAAACTGAGGAGGGGGCTTGTGGGAACCACCGATTTACAGTCAGTTAGTTGGTCAGAAGCACAGGTAATGACCTAGGCTTGTGACTGGCATCTGAAGGTGGAGTGGGACAGCCTTGCGGGACTGAGCCCATCACCTGTGGGATCTGATGCTAGCTCTGGGTAGATAGTGTCAGAATTAAGTTGAATTATAGGACACCCAGCTGGTGTCAGAGAGAATTATTTGGTGTGGGGAAAACCACACACTCATTTAGTGTCCAAAAGTGTCAGAAATAGTAATTCTGTGTGGTTTTCCTTACATCGTCACTCTTCTCCAAATACATAGGTAATTATGATGAATTGTAGCCCCCATGCCTCTCCATTTTCATTTCTTACCCACCATTACCCAATGCCCACACCCACACAGCTCTGCTTTAGAAACACTGTCCATCTTGCTGTTTCTCCCACACATCAAGTATGCCCCAACCTCAGAACCCCCAAACCTTGCTTAGATAGAGCCTTAGTGATGCTCTCGGGGCTCACACTACACTCCTTCACTTTGGCTCTGGCGGGTTTTTTTCTCAAAGACTCCAGCCCCAGGACTGTCATCCCTCATTCTTCCATCTAATTCCCCTCCAAAACACCATTTCCTATCAATTTCTTGCATATTTTTGCTACTTATCTGTTCACTGTTTTCATCTCCCCCCCCCCCAGCAATAAATGTAAGTCCTCGACCTCAGGGACATTTTATATTTGTAACATATGTATTTGTAAAAACACAGATATTACCCAAGCACCCAGAACAATCAACAAGTGGGAGATATTTGAGAAAAGAATGAATGCATGCATGGTGATTGCAGATCATGTGCTCAGAAACCTCAGTGGTGTCCACTTTAGTCAGAGATTGATTGATTGATTGATTGATTGTTTTCTTAAGTAGGCTCCACACCCAGCATGGAGCCCAGCATGGGGCTTGAACTCACAACCCTGAAATCAAGACCCGAGCCAAGATCAAGAGTCGGATGTTTAACTGATTGAGCCACCCAGGCGCCCCCTTAGTCAGAGTTTTAAATAAATAAACGCCAGTCAAAGTTCGGAAATGAGCAGGACTAGGGCAGGATGACATAGACACATGAGAAGGAGCGCACGCCAAGCAACGATTCTGAGATGCAAAAAGCTCACTCTGCTTGAGGCGAGTGAGTAGGCTGGTGTAGGGGGATTGCAGCATTGAAGGTGACTCTGGGTTTCCTGCCCCAAATGCCAGACCAAGTTGTTTGGGCACCCGACTTCTGGCAGTGTGGAGGAGGAGTGCTTTTCAGACTTGGGCATATGGGACAAGGATCTTCGTGGAGGAGAGGTGGGAGGGCTGCAGCGGGATAAGGACTAAGAGGGGAGCTCAGCTCAAAGGGAGTGTTTGCATTATGCTGTACCGAGAAGAACAGCATATTGGTGCAAGAAGTGCAAGGCTGGGGCAGGACAGGGTCGGGTCTCTGGTGGCGTGTCAGGGACACAAATGCCATCAGGGAGGTGGACAACCAGCAGGAAGAATATGCTTAGGAGTGCATTCACCACATGTTTCTGAGGCTTTGACATCTGGGGCCTTGCTAACCTTAGAGGAACCGTCCTGGCCAGAACTAGCCAATCTCTAGAGATGGTGGACTTGCTTGCAAGCATGCCTTTCACATGCAAACCAATCCGTCCAAAGCTCACTCTCCAACCCCTCCTTACATCCTGGGCCACTATTCCTCTGCCTAATCACCCCAGGGCCAGGAACCAAACAACTAGGGATGCCCCAACACCCCAGAGCCTGCTGAAATGATTCAAACTAGCCAATCCTGAATCTGCTTACCCTGTCTCACCGTGCCTTTCCTGTGGAAACTGCAATAAAGGCCCTACCCATGTTTCCCTTTGCCCCCTCTGCCTCCTGACCCACCTTAGCCCTGATCCATGTGGTCCTGTGTGGGGTGGTGTGCCTCTCCTCCTGGGAACTGTGAGTAACAGAGTGCCTTTTCAGTGGCAATCACCTCCTGATCTGCTGACCTCAGACACCTGGATAATAAAACCTACATTTTCAAACAAGCAGGAAGGTGATGAGCTCATTTCTGGACATGCTGAATGGAGCATGGCTGTAGGCCACCCCAAGAGATGCGGAGCAGAATCTACACGCCAGGACACCCACGTCACTCACCAAGGGAGCTGGCTCTACCACCGGGTGGCTGCCGTCCACGCCCACTGCTTTCCGGGATGCTCTCCTCCTGCAGCTCTTCACTCTGACGGAGACACCAGAGTCTCTGACATAGGGTCACTCTTCTGAGGCAGTTTGAGGGTGGGGTGAGCCCGGGAGCCTTCATAGCAAGGCTTTGTAACAAGGTCCCCGTGCTCCTAGACTGCTGGGACCAGGGCTGGGAACACACGCGTACCTGGCACCCATCGCCCTTGCTCCAGGACCTCACAACCCCTGCAAGTTCCACTTCTCCCCTCTCCCCCATACCCACCCAGCTCACCCAAAGAAGATAAGGCAGAGGCAGAGAGCGAACAGTGTGGTGATGCCAGCTCCTGCAATGGCACCTAGCATCACTCCTGACCAGATCCCCAGTTTCCCTGCAGACAGAGACACTTGGGGTGAACTCCAGTCTTGATGAGCCGGCATGAGTCTCCTCCTCTTTAGCACGCAGAGAGCAGTACCCTTCCCCTCCTGTCCAGGGTTCAGCCCTGAAGGTCTCCCACCCATTGCAGGACCTCAGCCTCCACCAGAAGGACATGGTCTATGTGACACCTTCTATCCACACCATCTGGCCCCTGCACCCTGTCCCGCAAATGCCATCTCTTCTAGGACCCAAGTTCTTCCCCATGCAGGGTCTCTCTGCAACAGACTCCGGACCTGGCTGCAGCAGGACCAAGAGACTCTGGGCCTCGTGGGCACTCCAGAGAGAGAGACGTATGCACAGAGCTCTGTGGGACACAGAAAGTCCCTCCTTCCTTCCAGGGAGGGTGTCTGAATCTCCTCTCCTGGCCTCCACTGGCCCTATCACTCAGGGTCAAAGTGGTCTTTCGTGCTTCCAGAAGCAGGTGGAAGCAGTGATATTCTCAGAGCTTCAGCTCTCCTTGTCCTTCCTGGCCATGCCTCCTGAGAGCCCAACACCCAGAGTGAGGGATGTGTCTCTTGGCATCACCTATCAGCCATATGGTGGGCACCGAAAGAGTCCTAACGGGCTCACTGTCCAGGTGGGGGCCAGATGTCATTACCAATGGGAATAGAACAGTGGGGGTAAGGCTGGGCTCAGAGAGAAGTCAAGGTGAGGGCTGAGGAATGATAGTGAAAGAATGGCCCAGAGACATTTTGGGGCAGTAAAACTACTCTGCATGATACCACCAGATGGATACATGTCATTATAAATTCTCCAATCCATAGAAGGTACAATACCAAGAATGAACCCTAATGTCAACTATGGACTGTTAGTGATAAACGCATGTCTATGTAGGTTTTATTGTAACAAAGGTACACTCTGTTGGGGGATGTTGATAGTGAAGAGGCTATGCATGTAAAAGCAGGGCTTTTGGGGAAATCTCTCTACCTTCAGCCCAATTTTGCCAAGAACTTAAAACTCCCTTTCTAGGGCGCCTGGGTGGCTCAGTTGGTTAAGTGACTGCCTTCGGCTCAGGTCATGATCCTGGAGTCCCAGGATCGAGTCCCATATCGGGCTCCTTGCTCAGCAGGGGGTCTGCTTCTCCCTCTGACCCTCCTCCCTCTCATGCTCTCTGTCTCTCATTCTCTCTCTCTCAAATAGATAAATAAAATCTTTAAAAAAAAAAAAACTCCCCTTCTAAAAATAAAGGTTACTAAAAATGCCTCAGGCCTTCAGAGACCAGAGGAAGATAAAGAGCATAATCAAGATGGTGGGGAGAAAACTGCAGGTCACCCTGGCAAGACCAGAGAGAGAGGGTATGGGAGAGGAGGACTGGGGGGGCTTCTCATGTCTAACCACAGCTCCCCAACACACCCCCACCCGTTGAGTCTCAAGTCCCACTCAGACACAACCTGACAGAGACCCTGGCCAGTCAATGCCCCATGGATGGGAGGCTCCTTCCTACCTGGTCTGTGTCCCAGGCAGACGCCAGTTGTTGGGTTCTGTGTGGCACCTGGATGGGAAGAAGGGATTTCCCTCTTCAGTGGGGTGGGGTGATGTGAGATACATGTAGGCATCCCCCTGTCCCCAGAAACCACAGAAATAAGGAGGGACAGGGCTTGAGTCCTTCTAGGTCCCACACTCAGCCAGACCTCCTGGTAAAACACCAAGGCTACCCAACCTGGCCTTCCCTCCCCTCACTCCTTCAGGGACCTGGGCATCCTGGCCCCATGCTCACAGGTGACATTGAGCTGGACGGTCCTTTCCACCATCACACCAGCTGCAGGGAAGTACACCTGACAGGTGAGGTTGGTGCCATGGTCCTGGGGCCGTGGGGTGAGGGTGAGCACTGAGGAGAGGTGGGTCCTGGGGCCCAGGGAGGTGAGGGCCGCTGACATCCAGGAGAAGATGGGAGGCGTGCCCCGCTCACAGGCCCAGGGCACAGAGCAGGTCAGGTTCCCGGGGCGGCCAGACTCCAGGGTCCCCAGGATGAGGATGTCAGGTGTGCGGGTCAGGGCTGTGAGGAGATGAGGAGACACGGGAATCAGGAAGAGGGTCCGAGGTGAGGCCCTGAGAGAAACCTCAGGGTTTGGTTCAGCTCCTGCCTCTGAGTTCTGACATGGGTTACCCCCAGTCCCTCCCAGGAAGTGAGTCCCATCCCGGCTCTGACCCAGGACCTCTGTCCTTCTCTGTGGCCTCACCTGGAGTCTGCTCCTTACCTGTCACACGCACGGAGAGCTGGTTCTGTAGGTAATTATATTTCATATAAGGCCCTCTTTCCACGCTAAAGAAGTATGTCCCCGAGTCCCTTCTCTGTGCATCTCTGATGTCCAGGGAGCAGTTGTCGTCCCAGGGGTCCCCGAGGAGGTGGAATCGGCCCTGGGTCTCCTCCTGCACTTTACGACCTGGGTTGTTTGTGGCCACTGGAGCATCCTGCTCTACACTGGCCCCTTCCCGGAACCAGTAGCCAAGAGCAGGGAAAGACTCAGTCCAGAGGGGTAAGAGGGATAAGGGGTAAGAGAAGCTGCAGGGCACGGAGATACACAGGCCCTCCTGCACCGTCAGGGATGCTGGCACTTGCAACCAGAATCTTGAATGCTGAGCCAGGGACCCTGTGGGGAATCAAGGGTCAGCAGCAGCCCCCGCCCGCCTGCCCCCCCCCACCCTTGGCCCACTCACCTGCCCACAGCAGGGGCAGAAAAAGCGGTGGCAGCATCTTTGAGATGGAAGATGTGTGGGCTTCCTGTGGGTGAAGAAGTGGAGAGCAGTGGAGGAGGGTTGTGGGGGACCCAGGGGAAGCTGGGGAGGAACACAAGGCCTTGTGGTTCTCAGAAGAGGAACTGCAGCTGTGGAGTTCACGCCCTCTCTACACAGAGCCAGCCACACCCCGTGGCCACAGACCAGGGAAACCCACCCAAGGAGGAGAGACCAGGAGCAGACCCTGTGTCCTGCCCCCCATCTCGGCACCTCCCTCTGGCACCGGAGTCTGGACCAGGACCTCTGAGAACATGCGAGGAACGGGACACCGTGAATCTCCTAAGGTCTTCCCATCTGAGGGGCTTGTCTGAGCAGCATCGTCTACACCAGGGAGCTAGTCAACTCCTGGCTAGACCTGGAAGGTCACAGCCTCATCTAGACCCTCAGGAGTTCTGTCCTGCAAGGTGGAGGATTCTTTAGGTCTATGTGAGCCTCTGGGGCAGAAGAAGAGAAGGGATCCTGGGTGAAGAGAAGGCAGGAGCCCTTGATTCACTGATTCATTCATTCTCCAAATACTTAGTGAACATCTATGTTGACTGAACTGGAGACAAGACAGCTGGGCCTGACCTGGTCCATCCCTTGACATGGTCCTCACCCAGGGTGCCACTTTCTCCATAGACACACTGCACTTTCGCTTTGTCCCTGTGAGGTTCACACCTGCAGACACCTGGACTTTTAAATGTGTCTGTGGACCTACTGGATATTTTCTAAATATACAAGGATGGGTCCTTTCTTCTTTTACTTCTATTATGCTGACTCATGAAGTTTCAAAGGCATCTCCAAAATGAAAACAATGTAGTATCTTCACGTAAAAGAGAAGGGAGAACATTGTTCATGAGCCAGTGGAAAATCTTTCCCATGAATGCTGTCTATACAGCGGTGCATGGACTGAAGCAATTTTTTTAGTTCCTCTTGATAGAAATTAGCATTTCCTGTGATGTTAAAGATCAGCTTCTCAAGGTGAAACGTGGCTCAAAACACATGTCACTGCAGAAAACATAGGTGGAATGAATATGCAGCTGCAATTAAAATCGCAGGTTCTGCCCATGTGATTTTCCATTTCACTCTGTGGAGCCGCATCTGGCAAATCGTTGATGCCTATATATACAATATAAATATATAATTACATTTGCCATCATACAGTTGTAAAACCTTCCAAACACAGTAGTATCTAAAGAAATGTTCCTGAAACATTACTAACATAGAGCTATTTTGCACCTCATCTGATAAATGAGGAATTGAGTCTGCAGTAAGTAAAATCGCACCTTATTCTAGGTTATTCAAAATGTAGGATTGTGGCACACAACAGAAAACCCAAAGTGATGGCTTTACAGTAAAGAGAGATATACCATTTTCATGGACTGGAAGGTTCTGTGAGTTCGCATGATGTTCCTTTAATGAACTTTGTACTTTTTATAAGATAAAACGTAACCACTTGAAGTGCGCATTTTTATGACTTATGACAAATGTATACCTCCACAATGGAGACATAGAACATAACCACCAACCCAAATGTGTTTCTGGAACCTCTTTGCAGCTCATCACTGCCACCTCCAGCCCCAGGTAACACTGATCTCGTCTCTGTCATGGTGAATTAATTTGGCTTATTTGAGAATTTCCTAGAAATGTACTCATTTGTGTGTTCTGGATTCTCTCACTTAGTGTACTACTTTCGAAATTGATCCAAGTTGAATTTGTAGTTCATAATATATGATTACTAAGTATTATTCCATGATATGGGTATATTATAATCTTTTATTTATTCACCTATTGAATTCACATTTGAAATTTTCAAGTTGTGGCTATATGAAAGTGAAACTTTTTATGGGCATATTTCCATCCTCATGAGTATATACAAGAAGTATAATTGTGACACTAACATAAGATTGTGTCAACCATACTTCAATTAAAAAATAGACATAAAAAATGCTAAAGAAGAAAGAAGACCCCCTCCATAAGAGTATAATTGTTGGGTCAAAGAGTAACTGCATATTTCACACTAATAGGAATTGCTAAACTACTCTCCAAAATAGATTGAACCTTTACCACTCCTCTCCACAATGTTCCAGAATTCTAGTACCTCCACAGTCTTCTTAACACTTGATATTGACAGGGCGCCTGGGTGGCTCAGTTGTTGGGCGTCTGCCTTCGGCTCAGGTCATGGTCCCAGGGTCCTGGGATCGAGCCCTGCATCGGACTCCCTGCTCCGCGGGAAGCCTGCTTCTCCCTCTCCTGCTCCTCCTGCTTGTGTTCCCTCTCTTGCTGTGTCTCTGTCAAATAAATAAATAAAATCTTTAAAAAAAAAAAACAAAACAAAACACTTGATATTGACAGCCTTTTAAATTTTAGCAGAAGGGTGGTGGTTTCTCAATGTGTTCTTAAATTATTAATTTATTCTAATTAGACATAGTGAGATTCACTTGTCATTACCTACAATTCTGTGAAGTTTGATGGATGTATAGAATTATGTAACCATAGCCACGATTAAGGGACTGAAGAGTGCCATTCCCCAAAATGCTTTTCCTCCTGTCCCTTGGTGGCCAAACCCTCCCTCCAGCCATAACTTCTGCAAAAATGCTGGTCTGTTCTCCATCCCTATAGTTCTGTTGTTTACTGAATGTCACAGAATCAGAATTATACCAAAAGTAGCCTTCAAAGTCTGGCTTCATTCACTTGGCATACTGCATTAGAGGGCCCTCCACGTTGTTGGTTATGTATGCCAATAATTTTTTACAGTATTTGCTGCTGGTACTTCACTGTTTCTCCGTACCCTCATGTTGTATACACTATCCCTAGGAGACCATTGGAGTTGTTTCTAGGTTTGGGGTGGCTATGAATAAAGGAACTGTCAATATTCACAGGCAGGCTTCTGTGGGAACGTGTTTTTATTTCTACTGGGTAAATATCTAGGCATCGAGTTGCTTGGTCCCACAAGCGGTGTAGGTTTAACTGAGACAAAACTACCAAAATGTCCTCCAAAGTGGCTGTACCATTTGGTGTTTCCACCAACAGTGTGTGGTGAGTTCTGGTCGCTCCACATTCTCTTTAGTATTTGACATTACCAGGATTTTTCTTTTATTTGTGTTTGGGTTATTTAGCCCTTCCAAGAGGTGCGCACTGGTATCTCATCCTGGTTTTACTCTGGGATTTCCTCGGCACACGTGAGGGTGAGCATGTTTTCATGTGCTCATTTGCCATCCGTTGTCCTTCTTTGCTGAAGTGGCTGATTTAAAGCTTTGGCTGCTCTGTTTTTACTAGAGTAAAATATGCAGAACAAAACATTTACCCTCTAACCATTGTCCAGGTCAGTGGTATTAAGCACATTCTCGTTGTTGTGCAAATCATCACCACTGTCCATCTCCACAACTTTTATCATCATCCCAATCTGATATTGTGTGCCGATTAAATTAATAACCCTTGATTCCCCGCTGTCCCCCACCCATCCCCTGAGCTTGACAACCATCATTCTATTTTCTGTGTCTATGAATTTGCCTACTCTAGATACATGATGTAAGTGGAATCTTCCAGGATTTTTCCTTTTGTGACTGGCTTATTGCACTTAGAATAATGTGCTCAATCCATGCTGTAGAATGTGTCAAACTTTCCATCTTTTTAAGACTGCATAATATGCCATTGTATGGACATACCACCTTTTGTGTGTCTGTTAATCTGTTGGTAGACCCTTGGGTTGCTTCCACCTTTTAGCGCTTATGAATAATGCTGCCATGAACAAGGATGTAGAAATATCTATTCAAGTGCCTACCTTGGATCCTTTGGGTGTATACCCAGATGTGTAATGCCATGTTTAATTTTTTGAGGAACTGCCGTACTAATTCCACAACAAATGCACCATTTTACAATTTCAAGAGCAAAACACAGGAGTTCCACTTTCTCTGCATCCAGGCCAACATTTGTTATTTCCTGCTTTTTGTTTCATTTTGTTTTGGTTTTTTTTCATAATTGCCATCAGAATGAGTGTGAAGGGGTTTCTCATTGTGCGCCTGTTATCTGCATTTTGCTGATAGTAGATGTTGAGCAGCATTTCATGTGCTTAGTGGTCATTTGGATACTTTTTGAGAAATATCTATTCAAATCCTTTGTTAATTTGTAAATACAGTTGTTTGTTTTTTTGTTGTTGAGACACAGTTTTTTTATACAATTAGGTTTTGTTTGTTTACTTATTGCTTTGTCTTGAAAGCCCTTGATATATTCTAGATACAACTCTTTCATCAGATACATATTTGTAGGTATTTTCTCTCTGTCACTTTTCTTTTAGCTCCGTTAATAGTGGCTTTTACAGAACTGCAGGTCCCTGTTCCCCAAGATGTGTGTCATGCCCGAGGTGACCCACTAGTGCATCAAGACATGGAAGAGCAGAGTAAAGAAGGTCAGGGGGCCAGATGGGGACATATGGGGTGGAAAAATCCCTTGGGCCGAGCAGTGGGCTGAATAGTGACCCCAAACATACCCAGGTCTTAATCCCTGGAAACTAGATGTTACCTTACAGGAAGCAGGGTCTTTGCAGATGGGATGAAGTTACGGATCTGGACTGTGGGGATCAACCTAGATTACCTGGGTTGGGTCCTAAATCAGAGTGTCCTTCTAAAGGGGAAGCAGAGGGTGACTTCCTGCACACAGAGCAGCATTAAGTAACATGACCAAGACCCAGAGTGGAGCAGTGACACCCCAGGTTACGGAATGCTGGCAGCCACCATCACGGGCAAGAAGCAGGAGAAGGATTCTCTCCTTGAGCCTCTGGAGAGCATGGAGCTCAACCACTCTTGATTTCTGTGCAGCAAAGCTGCTTTGGATTCTGGGGTTCAGGACATAGCCCACAAGATGTGTCACCTTGGCATCGTGACCCTTTCAGGCTGAAGGATTTTGAGAAATGGCAGGTGGAGGAAGGACTTTGTGACTTTTCCCTCCCTCTACCCAGAGGAATGGAACATCACATGTCTGATGACAGGTGGACCCAGAGAAGGATCTGGCAAGCAGGTCTCATCAAGCCCCTCCAGTTACTACCCACAGTCAAACCCTTTGTTCTCCCAGGTGTGGTTCCAACTTTTCACTCTTCACCAAATCTAGCAAAACTGCCTCAGGTTTAACTGTTTATTTGGGTCTTCATTTCCTTATGAAGGTTCCTGTGCCACATAAATCTCATATGAAATACATTCGTATACTTTCCTCTGATTCACCTGTCTTGTGTCGCATGGTCCCAGGGAGCTCTCCCAGTAGAAGGGAACAATGTGTCTCCTTCCTAACACAGCTTTCTGACCTTCCTGTGAGAGCTTACATTTCTTTCGTTTTAAGAGCCCAGGAGGGTGGCATTTGTTACAAGGGCCCCAGGAAGCTAATACGGGTGGGAAATCAGAGATGCCCCCTCCAGCAGGAATGCAGAGAAGGACAGAGAACAACCCGCATCTCCAGACACTTGCTCTGTTCCTCTTTGCAGCAAAGTCCTCACAAGGTTGTCTGTACCCCTTCTGCCATCTCCCCTGAATCTCCTGAACTTGCTCCAACCACATCTTCACCCCTTTCCTGCCCCTTTTGTCAAATCTGCCATTCTTGGGTCCCCAGTGACAAACGTCTCTCCAAGTGCCTCTATTTTTCTATGTGCAGTCAGTCCCTTTCCTCCCTATCGATCATCCCCTTCCAGGAGCTGCAGGATTTAACATCTCCCACCTGGACCCCTCTGCTGATTCCAGGCAATCACAGCCTGTGCTCCATCCCTGACATTCTCAGAATGAGCATCTCTAAAGTCCTTGACTCCATCCTGCCAGATGCTCAGGGAAGACACTGGGCATCATTCTTTCTCCTCTCTTTCGCCTACTCCCCACATCCATTGGAATATCCTGCTCAGTTTATCTTCATAATATATCCAAAAATAAGTCCCCACTTTCTCTGGTTGGAGCCAGCATCATGTCCCACCTGAAGTAGCCAGCAGTGCACTTCCCCATCTCTGTCTTGCTGTCATGGACCCACTCTGGCTGGTCCTGAGCAAAACAGCCATGGGGATCCTATTGAAAGGAAAGTTCAATCATATCTCTGCTCTCCTCAAAGGCTTCCAGATTTCTTGCATTTTCTGCAAGGCTCACATGGTCTGCACCAGGAAAATGTCTGCATCCCTATGGTATCTGCACTCCCACCACTGGGTCTCCACCCCCATGAGGTCTCCACTTCCTCAAGGTCTCCACACCCTTGGGGTCTGCATCCCATGGGATCTGCACCCCCATCCCACAGGGTCTGCACCCCCACCAGATCAGCACCATCATCCCAGCATCCCCACCTTGCCTTTTTGTCCTCTCAGCCTCAGCCTCTGGTTTCCACACCAGCCCTCCTCCTGTCTCAGAGTTACTTCACTCACCTTTCCCCATTTTCCATTTTTTGGGATAATTTTCTCTCAGGCAAATATAGAACCTGCTTTGTCACCTGCCTTCAAGTCTTTGCTCAAATGTCACCTCCTCAACTCTTGGTTTCAGAACATCGTCCCCAGTATGTCACGTGTTCCTCAGTCTGCATGGTTTTTCTGCAAACACATATTCTACCCAAAATGCTCTAATATTATTTCTTATTTATTTCTTTTGATTTCTTGTCTCCAGAATGACAGGTTCTTGATGACAGAGATTTTGCTGTGTTCACTGATGCACCCCAAACTAGGTGGCATATAGTAGGTGTTGTTCAATAGTACTTGTTGAAAGAGTCTGTTAATAACTGAGTACAACTTGATTCAAAATCATGTCACACACACACACACACACACACCGAGCTGGGTGGCTTTTAAGACTGAACCTGAAGATGATTAGGAGTTGGAGATGCAGGATTGGGGAGGAAAGGGCACTTCAGGAGTAGGAAAGGCACATGCAAAGTCTCAGATCAGGAAAACCCTAACCCAGCTGGGTGTGGAGATGTTGCAAGATGCGGGGAGAGGTAGAGATCTCGTGGAAGGTCTAGCGGGGAATGGACCATGCCAGGCCTTCAAATCCAGCTTTTTGTACCTTGGTCTTGACTCTGGAGAGAGATCATAGCTGTTCATGCTGTGGAGGAAGTGGATGATACTGATCTCCTAAGACTCAGTGAGTTGAGGAGAGAAGGGGAGGCAGGAGGCTGGTGGGTTAGAGGCCCAGAGAAGACAGGAGGCCATAGGAACGAGCAGTGTCAGGATGGGGAGGAGACTGGCATCAGGATGAGCTTAGGAGGAAGGAAGGACAAGACTGAGTGATGTATTGGATCAAGCAGAAGGGAGGGAGGTCACAGTGGAGAACCACACTGCGGTTCTGGTCTAGAGATAGGAGCCATGTCAACCATGTGAGAGAAACTCAGCAGGGAAGTAGGTTCGGGAGGAATGAGGTAGCTCAACATTGGCCATGCTGAGTGGGGCAATCCTGGGGCCATCCTGGGGGAGGTGTTGGTGGGATCTTGGGTGGTGAGCTGCCCACATCACTCACCTGAGGGATTAACTGGGGGCCATGTTTGCCTCCGCCAGGTCCCCTGCAGGCCTGGCTGTCTCCTTCCTGAGGAACTTCCTTCTGAAAGAAGAGACCAGGGTCTTTCAGTCTAATCATGTGTGTGCAGGGTGAACTGACTCACCCTTTTCCCAGTTAAGGGGTTGGAGGGCTGACTGAGGTGGGAGAGGGCAGGTCTGGTCCCACAGATCACCTTGAGCTCAGCAGGCACATCTCATCGTGGACACAGGGTGGAATCCTCACACCTGGTGGGCTTCCCACCTGCCCCATCCTCAGCCTGTTCAGTCCCTCCCGCACTGGTTCTGGGACTCAGTCACATGCCCCCACCCTCCCCACCCCTCCCCTTCCCCTGGGGCAGTGCTCACATGAGGATGATGAGGCAGAGGAGGAGCAACAGGGTCTTGACAGCAGCTTCCCCAATGGCCACCAAAACCAATTCTGCCACAGGCCCTGATTTTCCTGTAGGGACATTGGACGAGGACAGATTCATGAGCTTGAATGCAACCCTGTGTCCTTGACTCCCAGCGGGGCTCCGGACATCGGTTCTCCAAGCCTTCCTTCATCACTGGATGTGGGACCACCTGTGCCGGGGCCTCAGGCCACCTCATACACTGCCCTTCCAGTAGTAGGACTGGACAAATACGCCTAAGCTGGACTTCATCAAAATGAATCCTCTTGTTCGTTTGATGCTATTTAGAATGTAAGAAGGCAACCTACGTATTGGGAAGAAATATTTGCCAATCACAGATCTGATAAGGGGATAGTATCCAGCACATATAAAGAACACTTACAACTCAACCACAAAAAGGCAATCAATCCACTTTATTTTTTTTTAATTATTTTTTTTTAAGATTTTATTTATTTGAGAGAGAGAGAATGAGAGACAGAGAGCACGAGAGGGAAGAGGGCAGAGGGAGAAGCAGACCCCTTGCTGAGCAGGGAGCCCGATGTGGGACTCGATCCCGGGACTCCAGGATCATGACCTGAGCCGAAGGCAGTCACTTAACCAACTGAGCCACCCAGGCGCCCGCAATCAATCCACTTTAAAAATGGGCAAAAGACTTAAAAAGTTTCTTCAGAGAAGATATATCAATGACAAATACGTCCATGTAAAAATGAACATTAGTCATTATGTAAATACAAACCAGACCACACTGAGATATTCCCTCACACCCATTGGTAGGCTATAATTATTTTGAAAAGGAAAATAACAATGTTGGGAAGAATGTGTAGAAATGGAAACCCTCACACACTGCTGGTGGGAATGTAATAGGGTGCTGCCACTGTGGGAAAGAGTCTGGCATTATCCTCAAAAAGTTAAAACATAGAAACTAGCCTTTGACCATGCATTTCCACTCCTCGACATATGCTCCCAAATACTGAAAAGAATGTTCAAACAAAAACGTGTCCTTCAGTGTTCATAGTAGCATTATCATAGCCCCAGACAGAAACCACCCATATGTCCATCACCCGATCAGTGGATAGATAGAATGTGGTACATCCATACAGTAGAATAGTATCCAGACAAAAAGGAATTAGTACTCATACATGCCCTATGGATGGCCCTTGAAAACATTTTGGTAAAATGAAAGAAGCCAGATGCATAAGACCATAGTTTGTAGGATTTCATTTAGTTGACATATCCCCAGTAGGCAAATCCACAGAGACAGAAGGCAGATTCGTGGTTGCAGAGGTCAGGAGGAGGGGGAATGGGGAGTGACTACCTAAGAGGTGAGTGATGACAGTGCAGGGTGGATGGAGTCAGCTAGTGGTGATGGTCCGACAACACCGTGAATGTCCTGAGAACCACATGTTTTGCACTTTGAAATGGTTAAAATGGCAAAGTTCATTTTAGGTGAATTTTTCCTCAAGGAAATAATACTGCATATACATAAAAAATACTGGGTGGAAATAGCAGTTGCCACCTGGTACTGGCAAAGATCAGAACATTCATCCCATGCAAGCTTGGTGAAAACATACACTTTGAGCCCTGACTATTGGGATCATAAACTTGTCCACCCTCTGTGGAGAAAATTTGGTCCCGTCTCTCAAGATTTCAAAGAACCTGCGATCGAGCTATTTTGGTTTTAGGAATGTATCCCACAGACACACACACACAGAATGAGATGCAAGACTATGGATTGCAGTGTTGCAGTGTTTCTGTTAGTAGAATAAAATGAATGCTGTGATTTCCCATTAGGAGAAGACACACATAGAATCAGAATCCATCCACGGGATGGATCGACTCCACAGTCTAGGAGAAGATCAAGGGCAGTCTGCACTACTGATATCAGAGGACCCTCAGATCCTCTAGGCAAACACACCAAGGCTCAGAGCAGTCTGTGGACACGGGTCACTTCCCAGGAGGGGACTGGGTATCTGAAGACAGATTCTGCTGTGCATTTTGAAAGCCTGTCTATGTGAATATATTACCTGTTCAGAAGTACATAAATAAGCAATTATTAGGGAGAATAAAAGATGGTCCAGGAGGAGTCATCAGGAGATGCATGATAAGGGTCAGATCTGCTGGGTGCATGTTGCCCTGTTCTCCTCTTCTCCTGATACCGGTGGGGGGGTGGTGTGTGCAGATGTGGTGGGAGGGGGGGCCAATGCGGACAGCTGCTCACAGGGCCATGGGGGCTGGGGAGGGGGAGGAAACACTGAGTTCACACATAGGGGGTCCTGGTAACCAGGGTGAGTTTAGAAAGATGCAGGGACCCAAATCTGGCTGAGCTTTGAAGAGCCCCACTCTCTATACCCTGGGAGGAGACTCCTTCCTACCTGTGGTGTGTCTCAGGTAGACACCAGTTGTTGGGTTCTGTGTGGCACCTGGGATGGGAAGAAGGGATTTCCCTCTTCAGTGGGGTGGGGTGAAGTGAGATACATGTAAGCATCCCCCTACTCCCAGAAACCACAGAAACAAGGAGGGACAGGGCTTGAGTCCTTCTAGGTCTCACACTCAGTGACCTCCAGGACTAAAGCACGAAGCATCCCAGGCTGGCCTTCCCTCCCCTCACTCCTTCAGGGACCTGGGCATCCTGCCCCCATGCTCACAGGTGACATTGAGCTGGACGGTCCTTTCCACCATCACACCAGCTGCAGGGAAGTACACCTGACAGGTGAGGTTGGTGCCATGGTCCTGGGGCCGTGGGGTGAGGGTGAGCACTGAGGAGAGGTGGGTCCTGGGGCCCAGGGAGGTGAGGGCCGCTGACATCCAGTAGAAGATGGGAGGCGTGCCCCGCTCACAGGCCCAGGGCACAGAGCAGGTCAGGTTCTCAGGGCGGCCAGACTCCAGGGTCCCCGGGATGAGGATGTCAGGTGTGCGGGTCAGGGCTGTGAGGAGATGAGGAGACACGGGAATCAGGAAGAGGGTCCGAGGTGAGGCCCTGAGAGAAACCTCAGGGTTTGGTTCAGCTCCTGCCTCTGAGTTCTGACATGAGTTACCCCCAGTCCCTCCCAGGAAGTGAGTCCCATCCCGGCTCTGACCCAGGACCTCTGTCCTTCTCTGTGGCCTCACCTGGAGTCTGCTCCTTACCTGTCACACGCACGGAGAGCTGGTTCTGTAGGTAATTATATTTCACATAAGGCCCTCTCTCCACCCTAAAGAAGTATGTCCCCGAGTCCCTTCTCTGTGCATCTCTGATGTCCAGGGAGCAGTTGTCGTCCCGGGGGTCCCCGAGGAGGTGGAATCGGCCCTGGGTCTCCTCCTGCACTTTTCGATCTGGGTTGCTTGTGGCCACTGGAGCATCCTGCTCTACACTGGCCCCTTCCCGGAACCAGTAGCCAAGAGCAGGGAAAGACTCAGTCCAGAGGGGTAAGAGGGATAAGGGGTAAGAGAAGCTGCAGGGCACGGAGATACACAGGCCCTCCTGCACCGTCAGGGACGCTGGCACTTGCAACCAGAATCTTGAACGCTGAGCCAGGGACCCTGTGGGGAATCAAGGGTCAGCAGCAGCCCCCGCCCGCCTGCCCCCCCCCCTTGGCCCACTCACCTGCCCACAGCAGGGGCAGAAAAAGCAGTGGCAGCATCTTTGAGATGGAAGATGTGTGGGCTTCCTGTGGGTGAAGAAGTGGAGAGCAGTGGAGGAGGGTTGTGGGGGACCCACGGGAAGCTGGGGAAGAGCACAAGGCCTTGTGGTTCTCAGAAGAGGAACTGCAGCTGTGGAGTTCACGCCCTCTCTACACAGAGCCAGCCACACCCCGTGGCCACAGACCAGGGAGACCCACCCAAGGAGGAGAGACCAGGAGCAGACCCTGTGTCCTGTCCCCCATCTCTGTGCTTCTTTCCAGCACCTGAGCCTGGACCAGGGGCATGCGTCTTGCCCATTAGGCCTCAAATTTGCTAGAGGCCTGTCCTGACGGGGAGGCGCACAGCAGAGGTGTCTGAGAACTCCGTAGCATGAGAGGGGCGTAGGTGGGTGTGCTGGAGTCCTGCTGTCCAGGCTGTGGCATCATGGGTGCTCTCCATTTGCTCTGGGGAAGTGGTCACTTCCTGGCCTGGGCCAAGTTAGCCACTGTGGTGTCTCGACCTATGGTTCTTGAACAGGGGTGTTTGCCTGCCTCCCCACAAAGGGGAAATTTGTCAGTGTCTGGACACATTTGATCATCATGGCTTGGGAGGAGGGTGTGTCTGGCATCTAGTGGGTTGAGACTAAGGGTGCTTCTAAACATCCTCCGATGCACAGGATGGCTCACACTGCAAAAAATCATGCAGCTCCAATGTTCAACGGTGCTGAGGTTGAGAGAGCCCAGTCTAGAGCTGAGGGGCAGTCATTTCTTCCAGATATGGGATCTTGGAGGTTCTGTGTGGGTGTCCAGCCCGTGAAAGATGAGGAAGGGTCTTGGGTACAGAGTGGATGTCAGCTCTGTGTTAGGGCTGGAGGCAAAGAGGAGATACACCGGACCCATTTCATGCCCTTGAGATGCCTGGTAGAGACCATGAGGGAGGAAACAGGCTGGAGCCATGGGGCTGGAGGCTCTGTTGGGTGCTTTGGGACACAGTGAGCAGAGTGGACATGGCCTGCACTCTCAGGGGACAGGAAGGAAGATTCCCAGCTATAGGACCCTGCCATGGGCCCAAGGTCAATGCAGAGGCAAACTCGGGCTGAGCAGTGGGAAAAGCTCGTTGCACCTTTCTGCTGTGGTCCCCTTGCTCACATAACAGATGGCACTTCAACGTGCCCTCAGGGGCCTCCAGGTCTTGTCTCCTGCGCTGCCACGTAGTCATCCTGCACCCCCTGGAGGTGTTACCCACAGGCAGTGCAGACGCCTAACTGCCTTGCCAATGCTGCCCCGCTCCTTGCCACCAGCTCTCTGACTTCTCTCATGGGGAGACCGACTTGTCCATTCGACCACACTCACTGGATACCACCTGTGAGTCCAGTGCTGTGCTGGGGCTGGGGCTGGGGCTGGGAGGTGAACAGGCAGACTCTGACCCCAAGGAGCCCCCAGTCCTGCCTGGTTGGGCTCTTGTGGGACGAGGTGCAGGGAGTGTTCAAATGCTCCCTATGGATGGCTCAGGGAGACTGTGTTGAAGAGGGGATCTTCAGATGCTGTCGTTCCCCCTGTCCTTCTCATATCGTCTTTTCCCATGTCTCTCATCCCCAGGACCTCTGTGCCCCAGCCACATGCTGGAGAGGCCCCAGGCCCTTCCCTTGAGGCCCCGTCACCTCTAGGATCCAGGATCCCGAGCCCAGGCACCAACATATCTCTGTCCTGGCAACAACAACACAGAAGACAGAGTGGGTCTGTGTCACTGGGAATGCCTGAAGCTGAACCTGAGAATAAAGTTGAGCCTGAGGTCGCCCCTGTCCCTTCTACCATCCTCTCTCATACCTGCCAGGGGGGAGCATCCCAGAGACCAGCTTCCTGAAACTCACTCTGCATGGAGAGGCAGGGAGACCCGGGCACCCCACAGGTGCCACAAGCTGCAGGTGGATCCCCCTCTGTCTCCAGCCCCTACCAAGACAGCTGCAGGACCCTGGACAGCGAGGGCTGGGAGCAGCTCAGGGTGTGGCCCTCCGGGACCGTTCAGTGGCCTTCTCTTCACCCCTTGGTAAAGCCACCTCACTATGCCCTGTGCCCTCACATGGCCTTTCCTCTGTGCCATACCTGGAGAGGGAGGAGGCAAGGGTGGGAGGGAGAGGGATCACTCTCTTTCTCTTCCTCTTCTTCTTTTTTTTTTTTTTTAAAGATTTTATTTATTTATTTGAGAGAGAGAGAATGAGAGACAGAGAGCATGAGAGGGAGGAGGGTCAGAGGGAGAAGCAGACTCCCCGCCGAGCAGGGAGCCTGATGCGGGACTCGATCCGGAGACTCCAGGATCATGACCTGAGCCGAAGGCAGTCGCTTAACCAACTGAGCCACCCAGGCGCCCCTCTCTTCCTCTTCTTATAAGCCCACCCATCTTAGGATTCCACCTTTATGATCTGATTTAATTTTAGTTATCTCTGAGAATACAATCACATTGGGGGTTGAGGCTCCAGCATATGAATTTGGGGGGCATAATTCAGTCTACAACATTCAGGTTCTATGAGGCCCCCATGTTTCATCCTTGTCCTCCTTGTAGGCAGTTTCATATCCCTCACATGCAAAGAAAGGAGGTCATATAAATAATTATATTCTGCATTTCCACTTTCCATTTGAAAGAAATATGTCCCAGCCTCCATCCTCCTGGTGTCAATGATGCTCAAAGCACAGTTATATTTCCCAGGGTCTCTGAGGAGGTGGAAACATCCCCGAGTCACAACCTGCAGTACCTGGTCTAGATGGGTCGTGACCACTGGAGCATCCTTACCAGGCTTGTCCCTGTTTTGGAACCAGTAGCCACACGCAGGTGTGGATTTGTTCCAGCCATCCCGAGGGTAGGAGATGGTACAGGGTGTGGGGATGCACAGCTCTCTCATGTCATCACAAACTTATTTGTTCACTTCCAGCTTGGAATCCGGATGCTCAGTCTGGGACCCTGGGCGTGAGAGTCTCTGCCTCAGCCACCCTCTCCTACCTGCTCACCCCTGGACAGCAGGGTTGGCTGCAGCTCTGGGAAGGGATGAGCCAAGCCCTTTGCTGGGATTTTCTCTTTCAAGGAGTCATGAGCTGTGGGACCAAGAGTAAGTTCTGACAGGAAGGTGAGTGACATTGAGGTGTGTGCACAGAAAAGGAACCTCAGACCTGTTCTGTATTAGAGCTAGGCTGTCTTGAGAGATTGTGCTCATTTCCCATTTTTCAGAGGGGGCTGCTGAAGTTCAGACAAGGCAAAGGACATGCCCTAAGCACAGGGGAAGGCAAGACCTGCTCCCTGTCTCCACACCGCCTGCCCAGGTCCTGATCCTGCTCTCCGCATTAGGGACCAAGGCCCTCCTGGGCAGGTATCAGGGAGTTGTACTATTCCTGCTGGGGCTTAGTTCTGGAGTGGCCCAAGTAGGAGTTAAAGGCAGAAGAATATGGAAGAACCCCAAGTAAGTTGAAGGGAGATGTTTTCCATTCATTCATTTATTTAACAAGACAGAGTGAACACACTCACTGTGTTGGGGGCTGAAACTGAGACCTGACCTCACTTCTCCCTGCTTAGTGGGGTGGTCCCTAGGCAATTCCAGGATTTCGTGACAGGAGCCAGAACCAGGAAGAGCAGGCTACATAGGGGTTTTCTTCCAGGTTTTCACTGGGTTCACGGGCACTCGATCTCCACATCTCTATTTTGAGAGGACAAGATCCACCCATCTCCTTGGCCATGTCTCCCACCTTCCTCCATCACCACATAAGGGCAGGGCCAGTACAGTGCCCAGTATAAGTACTTGAATAAATGGATGAAGCCTTTTCCAAACGCCCCTCCCAATTCACAGTGCAAAACCCCTCCTGATCTAGCATTCTACGGCAGAATTTTTCTTACATATGCTTTTGCTTCGGGCAGCGCCTCCTCTTGTCAAGCTTCACATGTGGGGCTGTTTCTCTTGCTTTTCACACACTCTCAGCGTCAGGAGCTGCCTGACATCGTGCAGAGTCCTGGCTAGTCTGTGGTTGGAGGAGCAATTTGCGTTTAGTATGACTGTAGGAAATGGGCTTGTATCAGTGTGCAATTAGGTTTTGTTACAAAATACCCCATGTAGCCCGTCCTCTCTCTTTGCAGAGGTTCCTGGAATGCTACTTTTAAACAACCTCCCATCCAGTGCTGAGCAAACCAAAACAGAGCCTGCCCTGAAACCTCAACACAGCAAGAGAGGACGAAGGAGTGTGTTCTTGACTGGGGAGACCATCTTCCTGTGGGAATCCGCAGGGGCAGAAATGCAGGCTGTGGCCACCAGATGGCAGTAATGATTCCTCAAATTCCTGCGGTTAAACTAAAAGGCTAAAGGAATTAGTTGAAAGGTCATCTGGGATTTTTATGATTCCCAGGAAGTCGTCCAATTAACTGAGGGAACCGTGTCAGTGTGAGCATTAGTGCCAGTTAATTACGGTGCTAAACGCTTTAACTGTAATACATCCTTTGAGCCTCATGTAGAGCCATTGAGGTCTATAGTAATGATCCCTTTCCATTTTATGAGCGATGATGAAGTTCATAGATGTGATAATCTTTCCTTTTCTTTTCTTTCCTTTTTTTTTTTAGACAGATCTGTTGAGGTGCAATTGCTGTACAAAAAATGGCACATATTTAATGTATGCAATTTGATGAGTTTGAACTTACGCATTGCACCTGTAAAATCGTGACCACAATCCTGGTTATAAACACGCCCACCACCTCTCAAAGTTTCCCGGGGCCTCTATGCTTTTTATTGGTTTTTGTTTTGTTATGTTTTGTTTGTTGTTATTGTAGTAAGAAAACTTAACGTGAGGTCTACCCCCTTAACAAGTTTGTTAAGTGCAGAATACAGTGCTGGTAACTATAGGCTCTGTATGATACAGAGGAGCTCACAACTGATCCATCTTGCATAACCTGAATCTTTATACCTTCTGACCAACAGTTCCCTGTTCCCCTTCCCTCCAGACCCTGGCAACCATCTCACAACTGATCCATCTTGCATAACCTGAATCTTTATACCTTCTGACCAACAGTTCCCTGTTCCCCTTCCCTCCAGACCCTGGCAACCATCTCACAACTGATCCAT